ATAAATAAATAAAATCTTTAAAAAAACGAGAGCAGGGAAAGTCTGCTTCTCCCTCTCACATTCCCCCTGCTTGTGTTCCCTCTCTGTGTGTCTCTCTCTGTCAAATAAATAAATAAAATCTTTAAAAAAAAAAAAAAAAGAGTACACTTATGATGAGCACTGAATAAAGTATAAAAATGCTGAATCATATTGTATACCTAAAACTAACATAATACTGTATGTTAATATACTTCAATAAAAAAACAAAATTTTTAAGGGGCACCTAGGTGGCTCAGTCAGTTGAGTGTCCAACTTTTGATCTCAGCTCATACCTTGACCTTGGGGTCATGAGTTCAGGCCCCGAGCCATGTTGGGCTCCATGCTGGGTATGGAGGCTACTAAAAAAAATTTTTTTAAAGGCTAATGATAAGAAACGTGTATGAATATATATGTAGCAGAGGCAGGGAGGGAGATGGAACAAATGTAAAATGTTGACAACTATGGAATCTGGGCGAAGCAGATATGGGATTTCAGAGTAAGTTTAAAATTAATAATTTCTAAAATTTAATAATTTAAGTAATAAATTTAATAATTTCAAAAAAAATATTTTAAAAAACAGCAACAAAGAGAGAACTCCTGAATTTCAAACATTAAAGAATCCTAATAAGCATGGAGATAGAAGAAAACAGGTTACTTGCAAAGAAAATAAGAAATACGTCTGCCTTTAAATTTCTACTCATAAGCATTAGCTATTGTGAGGCAAAAGATCAATAGCCAGCTAGTTTAAAGGAAAAAAGATTATGACTCAAAGATTATTTTTACCATTCAACTGTTTGTAAAAAAAAAAAAAAAAAAAAAAAAATTCTGAGTTCTTGCTGGCATATGTGAGAATGTCTACCAACTTTACAAAGTAACAAGGCTATCTGTTCTGACAGTAAGTATAAATATGTTGAACATTTATTAAAGGAAAAAATACTGACAGAGAAAGTGAAAGATAAAAATTCAATCATGTACTGTTTCTAAACCACTTTGTTTTAGTTCTGTAGGAAAGGTTAAGTAAAAAGATGAATAAAAATATAAAAAAGAACAATGAACCAAAAGAAAACAGGGGTCACAATATTAATATTAGACAAAACAGACTACAAGGTAAAAGCATTGTAATAGGATCAAGAAGATAAATTTGACCAAAGCAGGTACATTCCATATAAAAGCTTACATGCTTAGTAACAGCACTGAGATGTACAAACACTGCAGAAAATAGAAGGAGAAAAAAGCAGACCATTGCAGTGGAAATACTTTACTTCAACTCTGGCAGTCTTCAGCAGATTTCACAAATCAAGGATATAAAGGATCGAATTAATATCTAATGTAACATGTTCAATTCTAAGATCCTGTTCTTTCCCCCAAAATCTGCTCCTTCCCTAGTAGTCTCCAAATCAAGTAATGACAACACCATTCTTTCAGGTGCTCAAGCCAAAAAGCCTTAAAGTTATCCCTGACATCTCTCTCTTACATCCCACATCCCATCCATCAGGAAATCCTGTGGATTCTATCTTCAAAAATATTCAAAATCCTACTACTGCTCTCCACCCTCCACTGCTACCACATGACTCTAAGCAAACTCTTACTGGGATTAGTAATGTCTCACCAGTCTCCCTGCTTCCAGCCTTACGCCAGCCCCCTCCAACTCACCAGTCCCTCCCTAACACAACAGCCAGTCATTCTGTTTATAAATCAGTCATATCACTCCTCTGCTCAAAACCCTCCAATGCCTTATCATCTCTTAGGAAAAGCCAAAAACCCTTAAAACAGCTTTTAACATCCTATGTGATCTTTCATTCTTGTTATCTCTATGACATCATCTCCTACTACTCTATCCCTCTTCCTTTGCTCCACCCAGTCTCCTTGGTGTTTTGCCATCAGACTCATTATCATATCAGAAAAACTGCCCTTGGTCTTCCCTCTACCTGAGGCATTATTTCCTCATACAGCTGCATAATTTGCTTCCTCATCTTTTTCCTATTTCGCTCAAATGATCACTTCCTCAGTGAGGCCTTTGCTGCCCATCTACCTAAGAATTAAACCGCCATTTCCCACTGCAAAATCCCTGGCTTTATTTTTCTACTCTCAATCTAGCAAATCATAAGTTTTGCTATCTTTTCCTTTCTTGTCTTCTATCCTGGTCCCCCAGAAAGTAAGCTCCAGGTGTGCAGAAGTTTTTGTCAGTTTTGTTCACTACCACATCTGCAGCCTCTAGAAGGATACATAGTTAAGTCTCCCATAATATTCTATAAATATTCAAGAGTTCCAAGGCACCTGGGTGAAAGCATCTGCCTTCGGCTCAGGTCATGATGTGAGGGTCCTGGGATTAAACCCTGCATCGGGCTCCCTGTTCAACGGGGAGTCTGTTTCTCCCTCTCCCTCTCCTCCCCAATCCCGCTCATGCTCACTCACTTTCTCTCAAATAAATAAATAAAAATCTTTAAAAATAAAAAAATACATGAGTTCCATAAATATTCAAAATATATTCAAAAATATACATCCACTAATAAGTGGATGTATATTTTCATAACCATATATATACACAAAAGAATATTCTCTCTTTTTCAAGCACCCATGGGAGAATTTTTTATATGTTCTAAGCATACTATAGATCACAAAGAAAACCTTAATAAATTCAAAAAATAAATAATACAAGCCAAAGTTCCCTAGAACAGTGAAATGAAACTAGAAATTGTTAACAAGGGCGCCTGGGTGGCTCAGTTGTTAAGCAGCTGCCTTCAGCTCAGGTCATGATCCCAGGGTCCTGGGATCAAGCCCCGCATCAGGCTCCCTGCTCAGCGGGAAGCCTGCTTCTCCCTCTCCCTCTGCCCCTGCTTGTGTTCCCTCTCTCGCTGTGTCTCTCTCTGTCAAAAAAATAAATTAAAAAAAAAATTGTTAACAAAGAACAAAACACTTCAGAATAACAGCCAAAAGTATGTTTTAACATAAACCAGATATTAAAGTAAACAAGAAAACTATGGGTGGAAACCGATATCCCCATTTTACAGATAAGGATGCTGAAGGTAAGAGGAATGAAGTTTTTTACTCAAGATAACACAGTAAATAAGTGGTAGAGCTGGATTCAACCCCAGGGACTCTGGAGACCAAGCTCTTGAATCATATACTCTTAAAAACTCCTGGGTCAAAGAAAAAATCACTGTAATTTAGGGTATACTACAGTAAGAATACAACATTTGGGGCGGCCTGGGTGACTCAGTTGGTTTAGTATCCAACTCTTGATTTTGGCTCAGGCCATGATCTCAGGGTTCGTGGGACTGAGCCCCACATCAGGCTCTGCGCTCAACAGGGAGTCTGCTGGAGATTCTCTCTCCCTTTGCCCCTCCTCCTACCCCTCCCCCTGCTCGCAGGCTTTCTCTCTCTCTAAAATAAATGAATAAATCTTTTTTTTTTAAAGGAACACAATATTTAAAAAGCTATAAAATTGGGGCACCTGGGTGGCTCAGTCAGTTGAGAGTCCGACTCTTGATTTTGGCTCGGGTCATGATCTCAAGGTCTTGAGATCAAGCCCCAGGTGGGGCTCTATACTCAGCACAGAGTCTGCTTCAGATTCTCTCTCTCTCCCTTGCTCTCCCCCAACCCCACACACACACTTTCTAAATAAATAAACAAACAAATCTTTTTAAAAATTTTTTAAAATAAATAAAAAGCTGTAAAATTAAGCCAATACTACTCAGGAAAATTCACTGTTTTTTCAAATAAAAAATTTTTTATCAAATAAAAAATAGAAAAATAATTAGAGAAAGTATTCAACTTAGAGGAGAAAAATACTAAAATCTAAACAGGGAGAAATAAACAATTTAAAAGGCAAAACAAATGGGGCGCCTGGCTGGCTGAACTGATAGAGCCTGCCACTCTTTGTTATCAGGGTTGTAGGTTCAAGCCCCAAATTAAGTATAGAGATTACTGAAAAATAAAATCTTTAAAAAAAAAATTCCAAATTCCACATTCCTAGCATTTCAAGAGATGCAAATCAAAAGGAAAAAGAGGGGCGTTGGGTGGCTCAGTAAGTTGAGTGTCCAACTCTTGATTTTGGCTCAGGTCATGATCTCAGAGTTGTGAGATCAGCTCTGAGCTCAATAAGGAGTCTACTTAAGATTCTCTCCCGTTCCCTCTAGCCACCCCACCCCCCCACAGCCAGCCCCACTCATGCACACACCTGTGTGTGCTCTATTTCTCTCAAAAAAAAAGAGAGATTCCAATTTAAAAAAATTAAAAATAAAAGGAAAATTAATTAGTGATTAGGAAAGAAAAAATAGTATAACAGATTAAATTCCAAGCACACATTCTTTAGCAGCATAAAAATTACAAAACTATTAAGAGGCATTTAAAAAACTTTACTATGTAAAGTTTCAAACATATTTAAAATAGAAAAAATTATATAATGAAACTGATATATCTATCATACAGCTATAGTAATCAATACATGGCAAATCTTACTTCATTTATACCCTTAGCAGCTTAACATTTTTATTTTTTTTTAAGATTTATTTATTTGAGAGAAAGAGAGAGGAAGTGTGTGGCGGGCAGAGGCAAAGGGAGAGGGAGAGAAAGTCTCAAGCAGATCTGCACTGAGCATGAGCCCAATGCCAGGCCCTACCTCACAACCCTGAGATCATGACCTGAGCCAAAATCAAGAGTTAGGCGCCCAACCAACTGTGCCACCCAGACACCCCTTAACATTTTTCAATACTAGAGTAGATATTTTAAGTGTCAATTATTTCATTATGTTCTACCTCAAAGAAAGGACTGTCACTCTGTCATTCTTTCTCTTTCTCTTCCTCCCTCTATCACATAGGTGTAAGGTCTTACAAATCTCTAAACATATAGTAAGGCTCTTTGGAGTAAGTACTCAATACACATTTGCCACTGGTGATAATTTATATAAAACATAGCACACCCGTACTTTGTATGCATAATGCCATAAATATCAAGACAAGAGACAATAAATAATAACCTACTTGAACTTTCCTGAACTTCCTTGTCATCCACATCAGAATTATTCTTTCCAGATGTTAAATAATTCTTGAGCCTGAAAGGTCCACTTTAAGATAAAACAGTAAACCATCAAATTTGTGCTTTTATAATACATATATCTAATTATCTATCCTAATGGTCATTTTTGTCCCAAAAACTGCCAAAGGTTTCCTTCTTATAAAACCAACAGCGATGTTATAGATTACCAAAAATATATTTACATGCTACATAAAATAAAGAATCTATAATTTAATCCTATAACTGTCAAACAGGACAAATACTGAATTTTATAACCTTTTAAATTTCATGAATCAATTTTAAATTTTAAGTCAACTCAAGTAACACCCCTGATAAAAATCAAATCAAATAGTATTATTAAAAAATATTAGAAACAAATCAGCTTGTCTTAATTTAAAAATACAGCCAAAAACAAGTAGAATTTAAAATATAGTCCAGAAATTGCTCAGAGATAATTCAGCTTATCCCCGTCCTAGATTCCTTCCCTTCCATTATGAACCCAGAACAGGCCTAATAGCCATAACCCACCAAATAGTAAAGAAATCTTAGCCATCACTTAAAAGTCTTGAGAATGTTATAATTTACCATTCTTCCATTTTAAAAGAGTATATGACTTCAGATATTATAAGAATAGGTTAATTTGGTTTGTTCACTGAGTGTACCTGTTTTAAACACATACCCACAAATTCTTAAACACTCCTCTTTTCAAGAGAGAAAGCCTAATCCCCCATTCCTTGAACGTGGTCTGGACTTAATGACCTGTTTCTAACAAACAGAATGAAGTGGAAGTGACAGTATGCAACTTCAGATACTAGGTCATTAAAAGGGAATTTTAACCTCCATCATAGTCACACTTTCTCTTGGATCACTTGCTTTGTAAAAAGCCAGCTGCCATACTGAACAACCCTATGGAGAGGGCCGCACGACAAGGAAGGCCTGCAGCTAACAACCATGGGAGCAAACTATCTTATAAGTAGATCCTCCAGTCACAGTCAAGCCTTCAAAGGACTGCAAACCAGGTAGACATTTTGAATGCTACACCTCATTAGAACCCCTGAGTAAGAACTAGCCAGCTAACCCAGACTTCTGGGCCACAGAAACTATGAAACCATAGATGTTTGCAAGTGACTATTAAAGTTTGGGGTAATCTGTTACACAGCAAATGAGTGACTAATATAATAAGTAAATCCAATGATCCTTAGAACACATGCATACCTTCCTTCCAAAACTGAAGTCTTAGGCTCTCCAGAATCCAAGTTAGATTCTGCTGGTGTCTTGCATGTAAATCCCCTGATCTGAGACTTCAGATGAACATTTTGTCCAGTCATATTATCTTGATCCTTTGTGCTTCTTGTACCTCTGTGAAAATGTAAAGTGTAAAATTATTTTCATTTCTCCATAAAATATTTCTTCTAGAAACAATACACAATGAGTAGGCCATATAATACTGGCTGTAACAAATATTAGATAACCCTGTTCAGGTCCTAGGACTTACAACTAGCCTAGGAAGAAAACTTGATTCTAGGACCTACTAAGAAAAATTCTGAAATGGTATAGACTTGGCCTAAGATGGAGGTGATGACAGGGGGGAACACAAGGAGACATTACTTCAGGCAGCATATAATGTACATTACACACTTAATCTATCATTTTTTTGAAAATCCACAAACAACTGAAATTGTTTTCTTTAACACCCCTAGTCAGCCTATTGAGGAACAATAGGGTGCTCAGAGGGACTCTGGTTCATCTCTTCAGTAGCTAACAGCTAATTAATTTATCTCCAATATATCCAAATAGGATATATTATTCCCAGATTGTGTAATTTTTCTCTTCTCTCCCATTTCTCTTGTAAGTGTTATGTTTTAATTTGTTCCTTGACTCAGTCTATCAGCCTACTCTTATCTTATGTGAGAAAATAATTTGCATGCAAAATAACTAAAGAACATGCAGACTTTGGTCCTATGATCACAGTCTAAAGAAATAAAAGGGATTATAAGAGAATACTATGAACAATTATACGTCAGCAAATTAGAAACCTAGATGAAATGGATAAATTCCTAAAGACACACAAATTACCAAAACTGATTCAAGAAGAAATAATCTCAAAAGACCTGTAACAAGAGAATGAATCAGTAATCAAAAAACTACCCAGAAAGAAAACCTCAGGCCCAAATGGTTTCACTGCTGAATCTTCTAAGCATTCAAATAATACAAATTCTTCACAAACTCTTTCAAAAAACAGAAGAGAACTTCTCAACTCAGTTTATGAGGCCAAGATTATCTTGGTATCAAAACTGGACAAAGACATCACAAGAAAACTAAACCAAAAAACTCAACATACTAGCAAAAGAAATCTAACAATGTGTAAACAGAATTATACATACATCATGACCAAATGGATTTATACCAGAGATGCAGTTTGGTCTACCATCCAAAAACCAATTAATATAATATAAAAAAAAAAAATCACATCATCGTACCAGTAGATGCAAAAAAAAAAAAAAAAAAGCAAGCATTTAACAAAATCCAACACCTCTTTATGATAAAAACGCTCAACAAGGGCGCCTGGGTGGCTCAGTTGGTTAAGCGACTGCCTTCGGCTCAGGTCATGATCCCAGAGTCCCGGGATCGGGTCCCGCATCGGGCTCCCTGCTCGGCAGGGAGTCTGCTTCTCCCTCTGACCCTCTCCCCTCTCATGCTCTCTCTCTATCTCATTCTCTCTCTCAAATAAATAAATAAAATCTTTAAAAAAAAAAAACGCTCAACAAACTAGGACTAGAAGAGAACTGCCACAACCTGATAAAAAGGTACATATGAAAAACCTACACCTAGCAGTATACTAAATGGTGAAAGACTAGATGTTTTCCTCCTAAAATTTAGGAACCAGACAAGGAAACCTGCTGTTACCACTTCTATTAAACACTGTACCAAAGCTTTTAGCCAGAGCAATTAGGCAATATAAAACAAATAAATAATAGACTGGAAAGGAAGGGTAAAACTATCTCTATTCAAAAATGACACTATTTTTGTACTCAGAAAATCCTATGAAGTACACTAAAAAGCTAATAAATGACACTAATAAATGACATCAGCAAGGTTGCAGAATACAAGAACAAATATAAAAACCAACTGTATTTCTATACACTTGCAATGAACATCCAAAAATAAAATTTAAAAAGCAATTCTATTCACAATAGCATCAAAACAAATAAAATGCTTAGGAATGAATTTAACAAAAGAAGTGTAAAACTTATGCTCTGAAAACATTGTTGTAAGAAGTTAAAGATCTCAACAGATGGAAAAACATCCCATGTTCATGAATCAATAGATTTACTGTTAAAATAGCAATATCCCCCAAATTGATATACAGATTCAATGCAATCCCTATCAGAATTTCAACTGATGTCTTTGTAGAAATTGACATGCTGATTCTAAAATTTATATGGAACTGCAAGTAACCCAGAATAGTCAAAAGAACCCTGAAAAGGAAGAATAAAAAGGACTCATACCTCTTGATCTCAAACCTTATCACAGCAATGGTAATCATGACAGTACAGTACTGGACCAAGAACTGATATACAGATCAAGAGAAAAAAGTTGAGAATCCAGAAGGAAACTCATATACATATGGTCAACTAATTTTCAATAATGGTGTCAAGACCGTTCAATGGGGAAAAAATAGTATTTTCAATAAACACTTATTGGGACAATTGGATAGTCATATGGTAAAGTTGAACCCTTACTTCCCAGAATAGACAAAAATTAACTCAAAATGGATGAAAGACCTAAATACAAGAGAGTTAAAACTATAAAACTCTTAGAAGAAAAGATAGGGACAAATCTTCATGAACTTGGATTCTTAGATATGACATCAACAGTATAAGCAATAATAGACTGGACTTTATCAAAATTAAAAACCTTTGTGCTTCAAAGGACATCATTAAAAAGCAAAAAAGACAACCCACAGATAGGAGAAAATATTTGCAAATCCCTTATTTGACAAGGAACTTGTATCCAAAATATATAAAGACCTCTAACAACACAATTAAAAAAAAAAAAAAGACAACCCAACTAAAAATAGGCTGAAAAGATCTTTTTCTAATGATATGCAAATGACCAATAAACACATGAAAAGATGCTCAACATCACTAGTCATCTGGGAAATGCAAATGAAAACCACAATGAGATACCACTTTCATACCAACTAGGATGGCTAGCATCAAAGTGAGATAATAACAACTGTTGGCAAGGATCTAGAGATACTGGAACCCTCACACACTGCTCACAGAAATGTAAAATGGTCAGATGCTTTGGAAAACAGTCTTGCAGTTCCTCAAACAATTTATTTATTTATTTATTTATTTTTAAGATTTTATTTTTATTTATTCATGAAAGACAGAGAGAGAGAGAGGCAGAGGGAGAAGCAGGCTCCTAAGGAGCGGGAGGCCGATGCGGGACTCGATCCCAGAACCCTGGGATCATGACCTGAGCCGAAGGCAGACGCTTAACCATCTGAGCCACCCAGGCGCCCTCAAACTTAAATATAGAGTTACCATATGGCTCAGCAATCCCACTCCTAGGTGTATGTCCAAGAGAAATGAAAACATATGTCCACATAGAAACCTGTATACAAATGTTTATACCAGCATTATTCAAAAGAGCCAAAGGTGGAAACAACCCAAATGTCCATCAATGAATGAACAGATAAACAAAACATGGTATACCATAAAATAAAATATTTAGTCATAAAAAGTAATGAAGTACTACTGATACATGCTACAACATGAAACTTGAAAATATCCAAACAGAAGGCACCTGGGTGGCCCAGTCAGTTAAGTGTCTGACTCTTGATCTCAGCTCAGGTCTTGATCTCAGGATCATGAGTTCAAACCCGGGGAGGTGGAGGGGGGGCAGTGAATATCCAAACAGAAAGAAGTCAGTACAAAAAAACTCATACTATAGGATTTTATTCAGGTGAAAATCCAAAATGTAAAATCTATACAAACAAAAAGTATATTAGTGGTTGCTTAGAGCAGTGGAAGAGGGAATGGGAAATGCTAACTAAAGGGTACTGGCTTCTTCGTGAAGTGCTGAAAATGCTCTAAAATTGACTACGTTGATGGTTTGCACCTATCTGTGAATGTACTATAAAACCATTAAATTGTACACATTTCATGAGTGAATTGTATGATATGTGAAGTACCCTTCATAAAACTTTTAAAACAGAAATCTACAGTAATGAGCTTCTGTTCCATCTGGCTTCTAGAAATAATACAGAAATTAAGTGATTACATAAATTTGAATGAAAGAAACTTAGTGGAGACTGCTTACACTTTAAGTGCTCTAGATCTTTAAGTTTGGTTTATTTTATTCCCAACAGTTTTTAATAGGGAAAAAGGAAGTTAGCTTGTAGTTTAATTAATGCTCATGGTTATAAAGAAGCAAAAAATATCACTTTTAAACAAGTTAAAAGTTTCAACATCTGTTAGATACATGCAGAGAGGAGAAGTAACTCATGTAACATCTCTAATCAGGAAGATGCCTTAAAAATTTTTTTAAAAAAAGGAAGACTCCTTAAACAAATTAATTTATCGATTTTGGCTTAAATACTATTATCCATCTCCTCCCTGATTTCAACACGTGTGTGCGTGCGTGCGCACGCACGTGTGTATGTGGTTTGTGTCACATAATATTCTAGTATTGAAAAGGCTTTTAATTTATTTTCTCCCAAAAAACCTAGTAAGTTTTAATTCCTTAAATTCCTCTACTGGTTTTTCATAGTGAAAAATTATCAAGAGACTAAATACATTGTACACCTGAAAATATAACACGATGTTAATTATACTTGAAGAAAAGGAACAGTAACATCTGGAAATAAATAAAAATTATCATTTAAAAAAATAACAGCAAAAGTGGAAACCACCCAAATGCTCACCCTTTAATGAATGGATAAAAAGTGGTATATTATTTGCAATAAAAAGGAATGAAGTACAAAAAAAAGAGAAACTAAATATTTTCATATAACCATACAAGGTGTTAACTATAAATTCAGTCAGCCACTTGATTTCTTTTTATATACTGAGAGCTAAAAATGGTTTGTGTATTTTCAAAGGTTACGTCTTAAATGATTATCTAACTATAGACATAACTGTTTCCATTTTGCCTTTTGGCCAGCAAAGCCTAAAATAATTACTATCTGGCCCTTTAAGAAAAGTTTGCCAACCTCCACTTCTTATAAAGGAATAAAAATAAATCATTTATCAACATGAATAATCTCAAAAATGAACTGTGGAAAAAAAGCAAATCACAGAAGGATATATATACTAATAAAACCATTTTTATAAACTTTTAAAACCATACCACATGCTGTTCATATATACATGCACACGTAGGAAAAAGTATAAAAATATCCATGAAAATGGTAACTACCAAATTCAGTATCACTAACAAGGGAGAAGAATGGGCTCAGCAAAGGTACACATGGGATTTCAACGGTCACTATAATATTTTATTTCTTAAGTGAGGTCATTGGGGAATCAGGTGTTACTTTATTTTTTTTGTAAACCTGAAATAATTTTGTAAACCCTGAAAATGGTATGGAAATGGTGTGAAAAAGTTAAAAGAGAATGTGTACGGAATTTTTTTCTGTACTACAATGACATACACTGCTATATTTTAGGGCACTATAATTTACTCCCATAAATCCCTAACACCTTGCAGTTTCTCACATATAATATGTATTATTTGTTGAGTAAATGAAAGAATACATACTATGTCAATAAGCAAAAATACGCAAGAACAACGCCTAACTCACCAGGTTGTTAGGACTGATGAAAATTCATTGAAAGCTCCTAGCAAACACCTGGCACATATAAGCACTCAAAGTATGTTAACTATTATCACCTTAGTGGGAGGAGTATTAAGACGTATTTCTAATTACTGAAATCACATTAACCTCACTTAAAAGGAAGCAAATCAAACTATACATTAAAAATGACTAAAGGGCGCCTGGCTGGCTCAGTGGTTAAGCATCTGCCTTTGGCTCAGGCCATGATCCCAGGGTCCAGGGACTGAGGTCTGCCTTGGGCTCCCTGCTTCTCCCTCTCCCCTTGTCACTCCCCTGCTCCTGCACTCTCTCTCTCACACTCTCTCTCTCTCAAATAAATAAAATCCATTTTTTTAAAAATGACTAAGATGGTTAATTATACTGAAATTAAAAAATAAAATACATTTTTAAAAATGACTAAAATGGTAAATTTTGTTTTTACCACTTTAAAAAAAAAAATCACTCACATCCCGTGTACTATATATTATTCCCCATTTTAATATAAGGAAACAAATTCAGATTACTACTTTGCCCTGGGTGTGGATTTACAACCAGGTTTGCCAGACTGCAGAGCCCTTTATGCTAAGTTTCTCCATAAATGATTAAATGACACTGACAAACTATTAAATGCTGAATGGCAAAAATAACGATATCGTATACCTAACAGACATTACCCAGAATGATCAAGATTTTTCTTCTTAGCCAGGTCTTCCTCATCATTTTCCAATGACGCATTCTGGGAACAACCAGAAATTTCATCATGGTCCACAATTCCTCCAGAATCTTTAGTATTTAAAAACTCCTGTGCTCTTGAGCTGCCCAGAGTAGTTCTCTTCTGCCCTTTAAACGGAATGGTTTTTTCCTCAATATTCTTAGATGATTGGTTTGATTTTTCAGCAGGTTTTCGTCTACTGTTGTGACACACTGACAATTCATTTCTTCTTGAAGAATTGCTATAAACAAGACCTGAAGGATTCAATGATAACCTAAAGTTAGCATAATGTTTATCCAGATTAGCGGGCTCACTGAAATACCAATATTATTTATTTACATGTAAATACACATAGACAGACACACCCCCCCCCAATCTCATAGGCTGTTTGTTTTCAAATTAAAGTCATAAACTAGGCAGCTTTTCAACCCTTTGCATGTATCACAGCTTCCAAAACCGCCCTATGTCTCTGCCCACTCCTCTTTTGGCCATCCTCAAGACCCCATCATTTCCCAAGCTTCCAGCTTCAGCTTCTCTATCTACTTTGAGGGACCCTTCTACTCTTAACTTTAATTATTATGTAGATATTGGTATCATAATATTCACCTACCACTCTCCCCCAAATCTGACCCTCTGGTTTTAGTTCTTATCTTAATGAAAAGTGTACTATTTACCCAGATACCTACACCAGAAATCTGAGTCATCCAAGACTCCTATCCCTATCCACAATCAAGTCCCCAAATCCTGTCATTTCTACATTCTTAATACCTCTCAAACCCACTTCTTTCAAGCCCTCCTGCCTATCACTGGACCCTCATCATTTCTTAACTGGATTATTAAAGCACCTCTTAGTCTCCCTTTCTCTAGCCCTGCTGCTCCTCAATCCATTCTTCACACTGCTTCAAGAATCATCTTAAGAAAACACAGCCTGGATCATGACAACCTTGCTAAAATCTTTTAGTGATTATCTGTAACTTAAGGATTAAGTCCAAATATTTTCAATAATTTATTTCTACACCTAGAGTATTTACTTCATTAATCAAAATTTTCAACATTCTCTGCAAATAAACAAACCAAAAAAAGCCAGCAATACTGAACTACCTGCATTTCTCTAAAGCACTGGTTCTTTTATTTTGTTTCAAAGTGAATTCTTTTTTATTGTTATGTTAATCACCATACATTACAACATTAGTTTTTGATGTAGTGTTCCATGATTCACTGTTTGCGTATGACACCCAGTGCTCCACACAGTACGTGCCTTCGTTGGTCCTTAGACAAGCAGGATCAGCATCACTTGAGAATTTGTTTCAAATGCAAATTCTCAGGCTAGGCTTCAGACCTACTACATCAGAAGCTCTGAGTAGAGCCCAATAATCTGTGTTTTAACAAGCTCTCCAAATAACTCTGATAAAACAATTGTTAAAAGGTTAAACTCTCAGCTCCATATCTCTGTACATGCTACTCTACTGGAAACATTTCATCCTTCCTCCTCATCCCACCCAGTCACTCAGCTGATTCCTAATTCATCCTTCAGGAAGCTTTCCCTAATTCCCATGCCTAAATTAAGTAGCTCTCTCTCAACCCTTTAATAATATTTATCATCCATCTAACTGTTTACTTATCTTTCTCTTCCAGCAGACTGACAATTCCTTGAGACCAAGATTGCTCTTTTACCTGTCTTTATATTCCCAACGCCTAACAGCAGGGGCAGGACTGTGGTGAAGCAATTTTTTCCAGTCTACTGAGATATAATTGACACATAACATTTATAAGTCTAGGGTACACGATGTAATAATTTTATATATGTATATATTGCAAAATAAATACCAAAGAGTAAATCTTAAAAGTTCCCATCATAAAAAAAAAAAAATTTAACTAGTGTGGGAAATTTAAGAAGGTGCTCACTCTCAGAGAGTCTTACAAGTACTGAACCTGAACTCAGTACTTGTATCTGAGACTAAGTGCCTCCTCAAATTTCTCATTCTGCTACTCACTCGCACCACTGTAGTACTGGCCCTGCCTAACACCATTCCTGCCTCACAGTGGGCACTCCATAAACGTTTCTCAACATAAAAGCAGTAGGGCCACACATCTACTATAGGCAGCTTGGTTGCTTATTAGGGAAACAAACATTACATCAACAGTCAGGAAACCTGGGTTCTACTGCTTTCCAGTTCTAGCACAAAGGTCTATGACCTTAGGTTGCAAGCCATGTTGCTTTTTTGAGCTTCAGACTTTCTTTTTCTAGCAGATGAAGGATTGTTTTAACCATGAGATCTATAAGCATTCCTCCATTTTTGTGATTCCCTACTTGATCAGAAACTCAACATTTGTTTCAAGACTGCTACATAAGTCTTTTTTGGTAAGTCTCAGAGTTCTAGAAAACTTATCCAGGCTTTGTAAGATTTTTATTTACCTATATATTTACACACTCATCTGCTACAGTAGTTTCAAGCACCTGGGGCAGAAAGGTGAGTTCCTCAGAGCAATAACAAGAGTAGATAATGTTTTATATACTAACTACATGCCACTTACTCTTTATCATGAGGTAGAAGGATTTGTAATCATGTTACAAAATATGAAACTGAAGAAAATAACTTACCCAAAGTGGAGAAATCATAATTTAAACTCAGATCTAAGTCCAAAATCCAAGAAAGGCTGCAAAAGAATATTTCTTTCTACTATCAATCAAGGATCCCAGTGACTCAAAAATTCATAGCAACAAGGCCTCAGATGTAGTACCATATTTGTTCTACTCTCATTTGTTGATCTAAATACCATAGAGTCAACAGTATGATTTTCTTTTTTTCATGACTACTTCCTTTAAAAGATCAAAGATGTTTCCAAAACAATAAATGTTTCACATCGTACAGAAAAGAGCTGGCATAGCAGACCTAAGAATGTTATCCTTAGAAAGACCTGCTTGCAAAGTTAGCTCTTGGCTAGTATTTGGGAACTTTAATTTCAGAGGGTTCCCATCATTTCCTAACTGATAAATGTGGTTTAGTGTGCCTAAACTGCTTTACAAAAAAATACGATTTATGTCAAATTCTTGCTTTCCTTCAGGGAGTCTGGAATTTTAGCACATACTAGGTGGAGGGTGCCTAGGTGACCACCTCCAGTAAAAATCTTGGGCACTAAATCTCTAATGAGCTTCCCAAGTAGGTAACATTTCACTCATCCATCATTAGTATTCATTGCCAAAAGAACTAAATGCCTCTGGTATGAGTCCATTGAGAGAGGACTCCTTCAGACTTTGCCCATGTACTTTTTCTCTGATTTTGCTTTGTATCCTCTTGCTGTAAGGAAACTTCAGGACACCATTATCACTTCTCTCACTACACTTTCACCTGATGGCCTTGCTTACTACTTCATCGAGAAAACAAAAAGGTCAGAAGAGTACATATTCATCTTCTCACCATCAACTCTACCAACCTACTTCCATCTGTGTACTGCATCACAGTCCCCTCCTTACCCATTCAAGGATTGTGATCCTATATTTATACTCTAACTTTCTAGGAGGTTGGGTTTTTTTTTTGTTTTTTTTTTATTTTTTATATTCAAGAGTCTTTCTTAAGTTTTTATTTAAATTCCAGTTAGTAGGGGCACCTGGGTGGCTCAGTCAGTTAAGCATCTGCCTTCAGCTCAGGTCATGATCCCAGGGTCCTGGGATAAGAGCCCCACTTGGGGCTCCCCGCTCAGCAGGGAACCTGCTTCTCTCTCTCCCTCCCCCCCTGCTTGTGCTCTCTTTCGTTATCTCTCTCTCTCTCAAATAAATGGAATCTTTAAAAAAAAATTCCAGTTAGTTAATATACAGTATAATATTAGTTCAATATATCAAGTGTACAATATAGTGATTCAACACTCCTTACATCACCCGTGCACATCACAACCGGTGTACTCCTTAATCCCCATCACCTATTTAACCTTTCCCCCTACCCACTTCCTTCTGGTAACCATCAGTTTGTTTTCTATAGTTAAATGTCTGTTTCTTGGTTTGCCTATCTCTCTTTTTTTCCCCTTTGCTCATCTGTTTTGTTTAAATTCCACATATGAGTGAAGTCATAGGTATTTGTCTTTCTCTGATATATTTCGCTTAGCATAATACTCTCTAGTTCCATCCATGTCATTGCAGATGGCAAGATTTTATTTTTTATGGCTGAGTAATATTCTGTTGTGTGGGTGTGTGGGAATGTGGGTGTATGTGTGTGTGTATGTATACACACCACATCTTCTTTATACATTCATCTGTCAATGGACACTTGGGCTGTTTCCATAATTTGGCTACTGTAGATAATGCTGCTATAAACATCAGGGTGTATGTATCCCTTTGAATTAGTATTTCTATATAATTTGGGTAAATACCTAGTACTGTAATTGCTGGGTCACAGCTATTTTTAACTTCTTGAGGAACGTCCATAGTTCTCCACACTGACTGCACCAGTTTGCATTCCCACCAACAGTACCAGAGGGTTCTCCCTTCTCCACATTCTATCAGGTTATTTTATTTTATTTTTTATTTTTTTATTTTTTTTTAAAGATTTTATTTATTTATTTGACAAAGACGGAGACAGCAAGAGACACAGCGAAAGCAGGAACATAAGCAGGGGGAGTGGGAGAGGGAGAAACAGGCTTCCTGCCGGGCAGGGAGCCCAATGTGGGACTCGATCCCAGGACCCTGGGATCATGACCTGAGCTGAAGGCAGACGCTTAACGACTGAGCCACCCAGGTGCCCACTATCAGGTTATTTTATTTTATTTTATTTTATTTTTTTAAAGATTTTATTTATTTATTAGAGAGAGAGAGAGAATGAGAGGTAGAGAGCAGGAGATGGAGGAGGGTCAGAGGGAGAAGCAGACTTCCTGCTGAGCAGGGAGCCCGATGTGGGACTCGATCCCAGGACTCCAGGATCATGATCTGAGCCGAAGGCAGTGGCTTAACCGACTGAGCCACCCAGGTGCCCTATCAGGTTATTTTAAATGAGCAGATAAACTGACATAACAGCTTGTATATTATAAAAAAAAAAAAAGACCCTCCCTTGACCCCACATCTCTATGCTTCCTCATCTTACTATCTCTCCTTCCCCACTTCCTACTCTTGAAACCATTTCAATCAGGCCTTTGATTTGATCATTCCACAGAAATCATTTCTATCAAGTGACCAACAACCTCCACATGCCAAAATTATATTGTCAGTTCTTAACTCTCATCTACTTCAAGCCATCAGCAGTATTTAACAGTTCATCACTCAATCCTTAAAATGCTTCCATTACTTTGCTTCCATGACCTTAAGTTCTCTTCAGTTTCCTTTAACCTTACTAACTGCAACTATTTAGTTTCTTTTGGTGGATCCTCCTTTCCCTCTTGACTCCTGGCATTGGATGTCTCCCAGGACTCAATCCTTGGCTTTCTTTCTTCTCTAGGTTCAGTCTATCACTAGGAATTTCAAGCAGTCCTAAAGTTTTAAATATCATCTATATATTGGTAAGTTCCTAATTATATGTCCTCCCAAATCTTTCCCCCTAACTTTAAACTCATTTACCAGGCTATTTCCTCAATGTATCTACGTTGATACCTAATTAATTTATTACAACCTGAAATCTTGACATCCTTCCCAAATCTGCTTTAATACTTTCCCTCATTCAGTAAAGAGTAGAGCTCCCTTATTCTATCTGTTCAGGGAAAAAAAAAAAAAAAAAAAAATCTGAGTCATCCTAGACTTCTGGTTCTCTCTTACTCCAATGTGTTAGTACCAAATCCAACCACTTTTCATCTCTTCCCTCCAACAATCTCTTAACTAGTATCCATGCTCTAGTTTCCTCTCTATGTAGCAGTAAAAATAATTCTTTTAGAGGTGCCTGGGTAGCTCAGTCGGTTGGGCATCTGCCTTTGGCTCAGGTCATGATCCCGGAGTCCCAGAATCTAAGCCCTGCATCAGGGCTCCCTGCTCGACGGGGAGTCTGCTTCTCCCTCTGACCCTCACCCCACTCGTATACTTTCTCTCTCTCTCTCAAATAATAAATAAATAAAAATTTCTTTAAAAGTCTCTTAATTTAAAAAAAAAAGAATAATTCTTTTAAAAGAGGACTCAATCAAGTCACTTCATTGCTTAAAATCTTCTAGTAGCTTCCCAATACACTTCATCTAAACTGTCTATCACAGCCTCCCTCTCTGACTTCATCTCTCCTGGCGTAGTCATCTTTAGCCATACTAGCCTTCTCGAATTCCTCAAACATGCCAAGTATGTTCCATCAGCACCTTTACAAATACTGTTCCCTTGGTCTGAAATGTTACACACCAAGTTATTTGTATGGTTCCCCTCTTCATTTTCCTGAGATATATGCTCTGAAAGACCAAAATGGACTCTTATTACTACCTTTTACAAAAACATTATTCACTTCTATCGACTTATCCACCCCACTTCTACCTTCTTATCCACCCCACTTCTACCTCTACTTCCCATCTCTATCCTTTATCACTTTTTTCTTTTTTTTTTTATGTTATGTTTATCACCATACATTACATCATTAGTTTTTAATGTAGTGTTCCATGATTCATTGTTTGCGTATAACACCCAGTGCTCCATTCAGTACATGCCCTCTTTAATACCCATCACCAGGCTAATTTTTCTTTATTGCCCATCACTGCGTGAATTATACACTTATATTGCTGGTCTTCCTCCACTCAAATGTTAAATCTCATGAGAGTACGAGTTTGTTTTTCCAGAGCTATATCCCTATATCTAGAATACAATATATAGTAGAGCCCAATATCTTCACACTTAAATGACTTAATATTTCTATTAATGACTCAACTTAACTTTGTCCTCATTAGGTTTTCTGTGGAAAATGGGAGTATAAATCAAACATAAAGCCTCTTATAGAATGACTTTTTGGAGCTCTCAATGAACATCATTTAAATAAAATACTTACTCTGTTCTGACTTTACCACCCACCAATTAGATGGACGCCTGGAAATTCTTCGACTTCTTGTAATAGTTGAAGTCACTTCATCAGGTACAAGTTTATTCTTCTTGGACCCACTGGGAAAATGCTTCTTTTTATATTCTTTATCTTTTTTCTGAGTCTCTGTATAAGGAACATTGGTGCTATTTTTCTTGCTTCCTACAAAGAAAACCATAAAAAACAATTTACCATCTATGGAACCAAAGAGTTTTCAGAAAATCACAATAGGTTAAAAAAAAAACAACCCTCTCAATTATAGGAATATCTTAAATTTATTCTGTGGACTTCTTTCATCTCTTTTTTTTTTTAAGTCAAATGTTCTCAATAAGATCTGTTTCTGTCAGTTAAATATAAACTTTTCACATTGCTTGATAACTAACATACTCCTAAGCCAAAAAAATTGAGTACACTCTGAAAAAGAAAAATATATGGCTTCTTCCAACTACTTACCAATGTTCCAAGTTAAAAAAAAAAGGTAACCACTGCTTTTCTGTTTTGAATTAAATCATTATTTTGTCAATCTAATTTTTGAAAGAGGAGATTCAAATAATGGAAAACCATTATTTTTGTTAATAGAATTTAAAAAAGAAAAGAGAATGAAAAGAAACAATGAATATGGCAAGCAATACATAGCTAATGAAAAGGTTTGGTGTCAGTAGTAACCTCATTTCACTACCACGACAACTGGGTAAGAAAAGAATCTAACAGAAGAGTGAAATCAATTCTAGTTTGTTTTTTGTGGCTGACAATCAGAAGAAGAAAAAATCAGGGAAATACAAGATATTTCAATACAAATATTACAGTTAAGAGGGGCACAATCACCAAAATGGAAAATTTCTTTTTCTCAGAAATAGGTTTAAAATATTAGGTGTTAGTAGACAGAATGGAAAATTTTCTTGATCATCAAATAAGTCAAGAAACCATCATTTATTAAGCAACTGAGACAAAGACTTCTGGTCCAAAGAAGGAATTAAACTCATATCAAGTAGGAAATATTCATGGAGTAAACAAACTACATAAAAGTATATAAGACCAATAGAGCAGGTATTATATATAACCACATAATTAAATATGAAACTATACAGAACTTTTTAAAAAGATGAAAGGAGAACATAATACAGGTTGAAACCTGGAAATATGGGAAATATAAGACCAGACTTCACTAAGAAGGTAAATTTGGGGAAATAATTCAGATGGAGATGATATCTAAAGCAAAGGAATAATTTTCTCAAGGAATGAATATAAAGGAAGAGCAAAGGGCAAACTATTAAACGGGGAATATGGAAAGAATCACCAAAATTTATAGATGAAATGAGGAAAAGTAATCAATAAAGACAGAAGGAGGGGCGCCTGGGTGGCTCAGATGGTTAAGCATCTGCCTTCGGCTCAGGTCATGATCCCAGGGTCCTGGGATCGAGTCCTGCATCGGGCTCCCTGCTCCTTGGGAGCCTGCTTCTCCCTCTGCCTCTCTCTCTCTCTCTCTCTCTCTCTCTGTCTGTCTTTCATGAATAAATAAATAAAAAAAAACTTAAAAAAAAATAATAAAGACAGAAGGAAATCAAACAAAAAAAAGAATCAAAATATTATAGCATCAGAAATTAGCTAGTGTTTAGGCTATAATGAAAACTACATCTTGTCATCTTTACTATATGTAGCATATAACATTGTGTTTGGCACATAGGCTTGAAATATGAACTCAGGGTGAAGCCAATGTTACAGTAGGCAATGAAACTGGCAAAAGTACTTCCCAGCATGAGCTATTTTAGATAGGACCCACGTTTTTGATACACCAAGTATGCTTCACAGATCAGCTGTATCAGCATCACCTGGAAGAGACTGTTTAGAAATACAGAATTTGGGGGCAACCAGGTGGCTCAGTTGGTTAAACGTCCAACTCTGGATTTCAGATTAGGTCATGCTCTCAGATCATGAGCTCAAACCCAGTGTCAGGCCCTGTGCTAAGCAGGGAGTCTGCTTGTCCCTCCCCGTCTCTCTGCTTGCCCTATTTCTCTCTCTTCCAAATAATCTTAAAAAAAAAAAAAAAAAAAGAAAGAAAGAATGAATGAATCTTGGGTCCCACCTGAGACCTACTAAGCTGGTTTATGAATCAAAATGTTAAGAAAATCCTCAGGGAATTCAAATGCATATGCAAGTTTGAAAAGCACTGTTCTGCTGTTTTAGTCAATCTCCCAGGTAAATTTGATTGAGGAGTAGAGAGATAGAAAACGAACCAAATGATGTCAAGATCCCTTACAGCAGTAAAACTCTCTGAGTCCAGTCTGAGAATAAGTTACAGGATTTGGCAACTCTGAATTTAAGATAAAGAGAATGATTTATGCTTATAAAAGGAGTAAAAGGAAAACATTAGCCTTAATGATCTGAACCAGACACAAGAAAAGTTGATGAAAAAGGAAAGAATATACTTTACCAATATTGTGCTTAATATGGGAATTAACCAATATGCTAGAATTGATGAGAATGGGAGGTATTTGGAGAGCCACCACAGATAGCAAATCTTGATAATAAAGAACATATTTTAGGGAATGGATATAGAAAATAATAAAGAGTCAGTTTATAAAACACTAAAGCAAGGAGAACTTTCAACATGGTTGCCACTGATTAGTGGGTTTAAGGAATTACCTGTACAACTGCAAGAATCCTCACCAGTGAGCATCATTTTCAGGCCTCCTATATGTTCACCCTCCTTTCTCTTCTCCAACTCCTTTTCTTCTATTTCCCCCTTTTTTTCTTTCCCTTATCAAAAGTATCCTCAGGAACTGTTTTTTTAAATAAAGATTTTATTTATTTATTTGAGAGAGAGAAAGAGAGAGAGAGAAAACAGAGGGGGTCAGCAGAGGGAGAGGGAGAATCAGACTCCCCACTGAGCAAGGAGCTCGACAATGTGGGGCTCAATCCCAGGACCCCCAGGATCATGACCTGAGCTGAAGGCAGATGCTTAACTGACTAAGCCACCCAGGCGCCCCCTCAGGAACTGTCCTAACAAATGAGAGGTGCTCATGATGACAGAAATTGCCCATGTTCATGAATAAACTTAAAAAAAAAAAATCAATGTGAACAATGATTTAGGGGAAAAGAATCTCAGGAAGAAAATGCTATCGTGAAAGACTGATTCAGACCGTGACACAGAAAAAGAGTATCAAAGTCGAAAACAAACCAATTATTTCAGAAACTAATTCCAGATCAGGGAAAATCAGAAACTGAATGACAAACAATTTAGAAAACTAATAAACAAGAACACACACAGAAGATACAACTGATATATGAACAGATGGTAACGTGAAGAGAGCTGACTTAGAACTATGGGAACATATGTCCTAAGTAGGGCAATGGCCAGAAAAAAAGGTGACTTAGAAGTGATACATTTCATTAACTACAGGAAATTTTGCATATTTACACGTAAAGGAGTATCTTTCCGAAGGTTGGATGTTTTAATAAACACAGCAAAATTATTCATCCAAAATAGAGTAATACTTCTGTCATTAATAATAATGTATTGGGGCGCCTGGGTGGCTCAGTTGTTAAGCGTCTGCCTTCGGCTCAGGTCATGATCCTGGAGTCCTGGGATCGAGTCCCACATCGGGCTCCCCGCTCCACGGGAAGCACTTCTCCCTCTCCCACTCTCCCTGCTTGTGTTCCCTCTCTCGCTGTGTAGCTCTCTGTCAAATAAGTAAATAAAATCTTTAAAAAATAATAATAATGTATTCTGGGGTGCCTGGGTGGCACAGTCGGCTGCGTGTCCGACTCTTGGTTTCGGCTCAGGTCATGATCTCGGGGTCGTGAGATTGGGCCCCGCACTGGGCTCTGCGCTCCGCATGGAGTCGGCTTCAGAGTCTCTCTCCCTCTTGCTCACATTCTCTCTCTCTCAAATAAATAAAATCTTAAAAATAATAATAATAATAATGTATTCCAATGACCCATACAGATAACTGTTAAGGCTAAGATCTGAGGGGTATTTTAGGAATAGGACAGATATAGTTGCTGTTCTCATGGAACTTTCAGTCTAACTGCCAGAAGGAAAAATGGAAATTTAGCAAGTAATTTTATGTTTGATAAAATAAAAAGGATGTTACTGGAGCATATATAGGAACATACCGGGATAGGGAGTAATAATCAAGTAAAGTGATATTTAAACTGAGTACAAAGCTTGGTAGGGGACAGAGTACATTTAGGAAAATTTTTCTCAGCAAAAGGTACAGCATTTTAAAAGGCCCACAGTTGAGACAGTACTCTGTTCATGGAACTGGGAGAAATTCATTATAAAGTAACCCAGGAGATGAATCTGGAGAGTAGAGAGAAGACAGAGGGTATGTACATAAACTGCTACAATAATCTAAGAAATAAATGACTCTAACTTGGCAAGAAGAAAAGCAAGAGGAATGGAGAGAAGTAACAAATATGAAAGTCAAACTTTATACAGGTTGCTAAAGAGGAGTCAAAGATGATTCAGATTTCTTTCCTGAGCTACTAAATTTATTATGGTCCCATTTATGAAGATAGGAAAACTAAAGCAGGAGCAAGCTTGGAAGAATTTAGTTTCTAATACATCCAGTTTGAGAAGCCTAAGAGACATTAGAAGTGGAAATCCACTGCCTCAACATAAATCATTAGCTTAGGCAATACAAATTTGTCAAGTGCCTTTCGAATTAAAGAAAAAAATATCTTCAGCCTAAAAATATCCTTGGAATTAAATCATTTTCATATTAGTCTTTGAAAACTGATATGATTAGCAGAATAATATCCTTCCAAAATATATTCATTTTGGCCAAAAATGTATTCACCCTAATCCACAAAATCTGTGAAAATGTTACCTTATATGGCAAGAGACTTTGCAGATGTGACTAAAGGTATAAACCTTAAAATAGGGAGATTATCCTGAATTATCTAGGCTGGTCCAATCTAATTATATGTGTTCTTAAAATTAGTGGTCAGAAAGACAGGACAATGGAAGAAGAAGCAAAAGAATTTGGGAATGTGAGAAGGCTGGCATTGCTGGCTTTGAAGATGAAAGAAGGGAACCATGGATTCAAGGATATAAACAACTTCAAGGCTGGAAAAGACAAGGGAACAGATTCTCTCCTAGAATCACTAGAAAGAAAAGCAACCTTGTCAACACATTGATTTTAGCTCAGTGAGATCTATTTCAGGCTTGTGACCCATAAAAACTGTAAGATAACAAATGTGTGCTGTTTTAAGTCACTAAGTATGTGGTAATTTGTTATGACAGTGATAGAAAATAAATGCAATTGGTAATTTATCAAACATTATTTTCACTAACCAATCTAGATAAAGAATTTAATATATCTGAAAATCAGTGTGAAGAATTTGGCAGGTACTTAATAAATGTTTAACATTTATAATTAAACAATATCCTTCAAGTATACTTTTTTTTTTTTTTTACGATTTTATTTATTTATTTGACAGAGAGAGACACAGGGAGAGAGGGAACACAAGCAGGGGGAGAGGGAGAAGCAGGCTTCCAGATGAGCAGGGAGCCTGATGCAGGGTTCGATCCCAGGACCCTGGGACCATGACCTGAGCCGAAGGCAGACACTTAACAACTGAGCCATCCAGGCGCCCCTACACATTTTTTTTTTTAACCCCTATACTTTCTTGATAAAATGTTTTTTCCTAAGAACTTAGGATAATCAAAATTTTGTACCTTCAAATTTTATGAATTAATATTCTACTTAAAGGATTAATAAGAAAAAAAATTTTCCTATAATATAACTTCAGTTTAGTCAGATTCTTTATATTTTCTTAAAATAGCCAGGGGCGCCTGGGTGGCTCTGTTGGTTAAGCAACTGCCTTCGGCTCAGGTCATGATCCTGGAGTCCTGGGATCGAGTCCCGCATCGGGCTCCCTGCTCGGCAGGGAGTCTGCTTCTCCCTCTGACCCTCTTCCCTCTCGTGCTCTCCATCTCTCATTCTCTCTCTCTCTCAAATAAATAAATAAAATCTTTAAAAAAAAAAAATAGCCAGCTGCTAATGAGGAAGGGGAAGTGGAAGGGGAAGGAAAAGGGGAAGGGAAAGGAGAAGGGAAGGGAGAAAGGGAAGGGAAGGGAAGGGAAGGGAAGGGAAGGGAGGGGGGAAGGGAAGGGGGGGAGGGAGGGAGGAAAGTAGGAAGGAAGGGAGGGAGGGAGGAAGGAAGGAAGGGAGGAAAGAATCCAGTAAAAATAATATGGGGGGAGCACCTGGGTGGGTTAGTTGGTTAAGTGTCTGCCTTCGGCTCAGGTCATGATCCCAGGGTCCTGGGATACAGCCCAGCTTCACCGGGCTCCCTGCTCAGTGGGGTGTCTGCTTATCCCTCTCCACCCCATTTGTGCTCTCTCTCTCAAATAAATAAAAATCTTTTTTAAAATAATAACATGGGACATGTCAGACATTTACAAGAGAGGGCCACAAAATAGAAAAGGTGGCTTTTTTCCCCTTTATTTTAAGCAGAATTTTTCAAATACACAAAGGTACACACAGACAAAACTGAACAACTATTATTTCAGGTGATATAAAGTCTATGTTGTAGATTATACAAAAAGAAAGCTAAAATAGTTGAATAATTGAAGTGGAATTTCTTTTCATAAAAACTAGCTTAAATACTATGCTTTAATATATACTCTCTCTCCCTTTTGTATCAGCAATATTATATTATATTATAGTCATCTAGGACCTCTAGGTAGAAATCCTATTCTAGTGAAAAGAGTTTTATGGTTAACCAATAGTTTTTTCAAATCAGTATCGAAAACATTTTCACTTATTTCAAAACTTCTTGATAGTGCTGAAAAAATATAGGCTCTAACCAGGCAACAGATCCTGAGGCAGTATTTTTTTTTAAATTTTTTTATTGTGAGGCAGTATTTTTTAACTGTGAGTGTTATCACCTAACTTACAGGATTGTCAAGAGGGATTAAATTATATTTTGCAAATATAAAGTATCTAATACATTGTTATGTGTTTTCTATTCCACTAACTATTCTAAAGAAATTCTATAAGAATAACTACCTTTTCTATTACTTAAAAAGTGGTACAAAGAACATAAATGCATCTTTTCTTCATGCCAGTGTCATCATTACAAACCTCAATCACTATACAATGATGACATAACCATATCCAACTTTGTCTGAGACAATCCCAGTTTGTGCTTCCTGTCCTGACAACCCCTCTCATTCTCAAGTGTCCCAGTTTGGATGATAAATAATATAATGATCCAAGATAAAAAGATCCATTGAGATATTACTTAGACAACTGTTCTCTGTAATTCTCTTATCATCCTCTGAATATATGTGTATATATCCACTAGTCTACAGACACTACTAGATTGATTTTTTTTTTAATGGTGATTGTGTCTTAGTAATCTTTGTAATTTCAGTGCCTAATAGAGTGTCTGGCAATTTACTGAATGTTAGACAAATGAGTAAATGATGGAACAGAAGAGTATGGAGTTTTATCCTGTAAGAAACAGCTCCATACTAGAGGGGAGAGGGGTGGGAGGATGGGTTAGCCTGGTGATGGGTATTAAGGAGGGCACGTTCTGCGTGGAGCACTGGGTGTTATACACAAACAATGAATCATGGAACACTACATCCAAAACTAATGATGTATGATTAACATAATAAAATATTAAAAAAAAAAAGAAATAGCGCCATACTATCTTGGGTTTTTCTTTCCCAGTTTGTATTTTACTAAACCTCAAAGAATATATGATGTTGTCTTATTCATATTCTGGTAACCATCCGGTTTACAAGTCTTTTCCCTTCACTCTTCCCTTTATATATATACTGCCATCTTCTTAGAAGCTACACAAAACTCAAGTGACTCAGAATTGAATTACATGTAGGGCGCCTGGGTGGCTCAGTTGGTTGAGCGACTGCCTTCGGCTCAGGTCATGATCCTGGAGTCCCGGGATCGAGTCCCACATCGGGCTCCCTGCTCAGCGGGGAGTCTGCTTCTCCCTCTGACCCTCTTCCCTCTCGTGCTTTCTATCTCTCATTCTCTCTCTCTCAAATAAATGAAATCTTTAAAAAAAAAAAAAGAATTGAATTACATGTAAAATAGAGGTGCTAGAAAAGAGCCTATAGATTTAGGTTTACTTTGCCTACTTCCAAAAGCTAAATAGAAATATTACAAGAACATAAAGTGGTGGAATAATGTTCAGTTATACTTAATATAAAACACTTACCCACAGGCAGCATCTGTTTTTTGGAAATATCAACATTTATCATCTCTTCACACTCTTCCATATTTGTCTGAATTTCTCTGTAACTTACCTTGGGTGATATGTAACGTATTTTTATCTTTATCTTTAGATTGTTCCACATCAACCTGTTCTTCAAGTATACTGTCCTTAAATTTTCTTCTCTGTTTTTGTTTTATAGCCCTTTTCTTTCCAGATGATTTCTCTGCATTCTCACAATACATTTCATATTTTGTAGATCTATGATTTTCCAGTTCATTTGTCAAAGCACAACTCCTACCCAGTCTTTTTTGTTCAGAGGGCTGAGATTTCTCTATTGGGTAATCTGTGTCAGAATGTTTGTCACTCATCAAAGTTGTAGGTGATACATTGTGATGTTTTTCTCTCGACTTCTTACTTTGAAGGAGTGCAGAGCTCTCTGCAGGGTATACTGTGCACTGTTTCAGAGGCCCAGCCTTTCTGGGTACAGTAATCCAAGATCGACTGGCAAAACTTCTTTCTGATTCATCAATTATAAATTCATCCTCTAACAACTTCAGGTCATTTGAAGGAGATGAGTGAAGTGGAGCAGTTGCTATATGCCTAACAATAGGACTAAAATAGGATGTTATAATAAATAATAGCTCAAAAAATAAGTTTTTACCTTTGCTTTGTGAAGAAAATAATCTATATAGGAAATAAAATCTATGTATCTTTTAAAGAACAGTGTACATCTCCTCAATTTTCCCTTACCCTTGAAAATCCTCTTCTTTTACATTTCTATAATGCCTGACTATATTCATTTATAACACTAATGAGATCACAGAAATTTAGAGCTGGAAGGAAGCCTAGACATCAAAAATTTTAATGCCGCCCCAACCCACTATATATACTGTACAGCTGAAACCCAGAGATGTGTTAAACATAGCCCAGATACATTGACGGACAGTCCAAAGATGCATGCCATTGTTATATGTAATGTTATGCTAATTATGTTTGTATAGATGTCTCTTAGGGGCCAGATTCCTTCACATCCAAAATAAGATTATTTCCAAGACATCTTCAAGTCTAATATTCTAAGAAAATACTACTAAATTATGCACTAAATTATATTATGTAAAAATTCATTCCAAGTTTGAATAATTCACATACATTTTCAAGTAAGTTTTAAATATTGCATTCATGGTATAGAAATAAATAGAAAGTATCTAGAAAGGCAGGCAAATTGGGATTAAACAGCATCTCTTCCAATTAGTTGGGAAAGCTTTCTAGAGAAGGAAGGAATTATTTAAAGGATAGTAATCTGATGGACTCTTGCATTTCCTTCCTTTTTATAAGAACAGCTTCAAGCAAACCACATACTGAAGTGAGATATGCATAAGTAAAAACTTAGGGTAAACATCCAAACTCTGAATCTAGCATATGCACTCCTGTTTCTGCCTTTTCCACTTGAGTAAGAATGCTTAACCATTATTGTGTCTGCTTTTTCTATCTTTTCACTAATAAGATATACAAAAAGATTATGAAATGAAAATGCCTTCTCTACTTCCCTAATCTCAAACTGTTATAATGTAAAATAGTACACATATATGTGTATGTGTGTGTGTGTGTGTGTGTGTGTGTGTGTGTGTGTGTGTATATATGCTAAGAAATATACTATCTTCTATTAGGTAATGTTTTTTAAGTTTATATAATTAGAAAACTCTAGAAAATCTAATGAAAAAGTCAATATAAACAGAAAACACAATGAATGAATGTTTAAACAGAAATGTTACTTTTCAACATTTAAAGAAATAGCCAATCTGTTATAAATAGGTTTAATTTGCTTTACTGTATATAACTCATAATATCTGTTAGTTTTTATATATAAAGAAGTAGTGCTTCCTAAATCAGCCAGTAAGAATTCTCTAGGGGTGCCTGGGTTGCTCAGTCGGTTAAGCATCTGCCTTTAGTTCAGGTCGTGATCCTAGGGCCTGGGACTGAGCCCCGCATCTGAAAGCCCACTTCTCCCTCTCCCTCTGCCTGCCACTCCCCCTGCTTGTCCTTGTGTGTGCACTCTCTCTCTCTCTCTGTCAAATAAATAAATGAATGAATAAATAATAAATAAATAAATAAATAAATAAATAAGAATTCTCTAAATCTGCTCCTCTATTCTACTTCAATGGACTTCCATAACATCAAGATTATTCAAACTGAAGATATCCTTAGGAAATAACGTTGACACTTGCTTCAGACTGAATGTCTATATACTTCCAAAATTCATAAACTGAAACCTAATCCCCAATGGGATGGTATTTGGGGTGGGGCCTTTACGAAGTGATTAACTTATGAGGATAAAACACTCATGAATAGAATTAATACCCTAATAAAAGAAGCCTCAGAAAGCCCCCTTGCCACGTTCTTGCCATGTAAGGTTATAGCAAGAAGACAGCCATCTAAGAACCAGGAAGCAGATGTCACCAGAAAAGAAAAAGGGAGACTAGCACATGAAAGGGGAAAATGGCATGCCAAAACAGGGACAAATGCAAATGTGTATGACCAAGTTGCCAGAAACAGCGAACTAGGGAGAGTGAAGGCTGTAAATACCAGCAGACAAATCTAAAGTTTTTATAGGCCAGTGGTTCCCATCCCTTGCTGCCATTATTTCTAGTTAACTGCAATGTGCAGCCACAGTTAAGAATCACTGTGTGGACACAGTAGAACCTCTGAAGGTTTTTAAGTAGGCAAGAGCAGATTAAAATTTATTTTAGGACTATACTTTTAATACAAGCAGAAGAAAAGGAAAGAAGATTTAAAGCTCTTAATAGTGAAATACACCACAACATAATTCTATTTCTAAATACTACCCTCATTTTTTGATATCATTCAAACTAGAAAGTGCTAATGAGCAAAAGCACTGAATAAGCAATGAAAGCAATGAATGCTGAATAAACTTACTTTCTTTCACATTTAATTTAGTAAGTATTTAATGATGGCTTTGGGGGTGATTTGCTGGTAAGAAACTATACTCTCCTTAGGGTTAGGCATAATTTCAATTAAAATTTGCACCAATTAAGGTTAACTTTTAGTTAAATAGCATTAAGAATCCTTGATATTGTTCACAGAATATAAAAGAAAAATGCCTCAAAAGACAGTTTCTTAATAACTCACCTGGATTCACTTTTTCTTTTTACAGTTTCTAAAAACAATGTTGAAAAACTCTTTTTAGTTTGTGGCTGAATTTCATCTTCTGAATCTGATACTCTTTTCTGAGATGTTCTTGACGATTTCCTCTCTTGTGGTTCTTCTGATACTTTATCCTCTATTTCTGATACTTTATTTGCTATTTCTACTTTCTTCAAAGCATTTTTATCTTCAAAGTTTAACCTAAAAGTTTAAAAGGAAGGCAAGCTGAATACTCTCACAGTTTGCTGAGTTAGGAATTTTCCTGAACTCCCTTTCAGTAACCATAGAGACCACTTACAAAATTTCTCACTAGTCCTTTATTTAAAGTCCACAAATTCTGATTTGTAATCTCTTAAAATACACAAGGCAATTGCTCAGGAAAATTACATTTCTTATTTGTCAATAAAAAAGTAAGAGAAAAGACCAAGGAAATCTGTAGCTTAGAGGACTAGTTCTCAAACATTTAGTAAGATTTTGAATCATCTGAAGAACCTTATTAAAATGTAGATTCTGATTTAGTAGGTCTAGAATAGGGTTTGAGATTCTATATTTCTAACAAGCTGCCAGATAATGCATTGCTGTTGATCCTGAGCCACATACCACATTTTGAATAGCAAAATCTTAGAATGTACTTAACTCCTTGGCTCTAAGAACTACACAAGACACTACACAGACATTAACTACACTCACTGCAAAAGTCCCCAGTAGCAAAGGACTCTGATCTACTTTGCTTCTTAAAGGCCAAAATGAGCCCCAAGAAATAGACATGGATTTACCACAACTCATCCTCAAAATACTTACCCTTTGCTATCCTAGAAATGACCCGATATATATCTACCATTGTAATTACAAATGACATAGAGAAAATACTCTTAGGAAGTTAGAGAAAACATATTATAAGAAAATACTTTTTTTCATACACTATAGAAATGTTTACCCACAAACTTCTCTGAAGTATACTTTAAGCCTTCCTTATTAAATATAAACTGAATACAAACTGAACTATGTTATGCTCTTCTCATGTTAATATTCCTCAATATTTACCATAAAATACATTAAAAATAAATAACTTAAAAATTTTTAAGTAGGATTCATATTATTTCAATAAATAAAAATTCACCTTTTTCTGGTTTTAAGAGAAATCTCTGTACTTGAAGACAATGTATTCACTGAATTTTCAGAAGTGTAGGTCTCTCTCTTTTGGGCAATAGATGGAATCGCATTTTGCGATACAGAAGCTTTTGCATCCAAAAGAACAAAAGGTGAGCCAACAGATAAGTACAATTTCTCATCAGCTTCACTGGGATGATCTTTTAGTTTTTTACTTGACATTTTTCTCGAGTCAGGTGTTTTTTTAGAACCAACATCAGTTGCCAAAATTTGCTGATGAACTTCATGGTCCTGAACTAGAAGAAAATTATATGAAGATATTAAAATTTTTTTAAATAATATTAGAACCAAATGTGTTTTTTAAAATTCAGCAGCAATAACTAGATATAGTTTTCAGAAGACTCACCTTTCATTAAGTTTATAATCAAAGATCTATGAGTAAAATACCTAAGTGCTTTAAAAGTTCTAATTCATGAAATTAATGAATATAAAGATGTATTTGGGGTCGACTGGGTGGCTGTCGTCAAGTGTCTGCCTTCGGCTCAGGTCATGATCCTAGGGCCCTGGGACTGAGCCCCGCATTGGGCTCCTTGCTCAGCGAGAAGCCTGCTTCTCCCTCTCCCACTGCTTGCCTGCTTGTATTCCCTCACTCGCTGTGTCTCTCTCTGGCAAATAAATAAATAAAATCTTAAAAAAAAAAAACCTTTAAAAAAAAAAGATGTATTTGTTCCATGCTCTTAAGTTTTGAAGTGACAAAAATTTTCAAACAGAAAATTCACAATTCTATGGATAGTCAATTTACCCAAGGTTTGAATAAATCTATACACAACTAAAATAATGAAGTAATGCTAGAGAAATTATGAGATTCGATCTTTAGGTTAAGAGTCAGTAAACTAGGGGCACCTGGGTGGCTCAGTTGGTTAAGCGACTGCCTTCAGCTCAGGACATGATCCTGGAGTCCCACGGAGTCTGCTTCTCCCTCTGACCCTCCCCCTCTCATGTGCTCTCTCTCTCTCTCTCTCTCAAATAAATAAAATCTTTAAAAAAAAAAAGAGTCAGTAAACTAAGGCGGCTAGACCACATATTTATACACACACATACACATAGAGAGACATAACAGATATGTATAGAGATATATAAAAGATCTGTATGTGCATATATATATGTAAAGGTATACATATAAAAATATACTTTATATATAAAAGCTTATATACATATATACATGTACCTTTATATACATGTATATAAAGAATATACATATTCTCTTAGCCTTATACCTTCAAATGTCAAAGAAAAAGTAGAACTGTTGGGGAGTATTCATATTGATTCACACTCTTAAAAAGCAAAGATTAGGGGCACCTGGGTGGCTCAGTCGGTTAAGCGTCCGACTCTTGATTCAGGTAATGATTTTAGGGTGGTGAGATAGAGCCTCACACTGGGCTCCGCACATAGCACAGAGTCTGCTTGGGTTTCTCTCTCCCTCTCCCTGTCCCTCTGCCCCTCTCCCCCCACCCCCCACACACTCTCCCTCTCTCCAATAAAAAAAAAAATTTTTTTTTAAAAAAAAGCAAAGATTTAAAAATTTTAAATACAATCAAAAAGGGGCTTTTGGAAGGTTATGGAAAAAGACAGTATACTCAGTTTTCTCTCCTTTTCCCTCTAGATATAACTAAACTAAATTCCTGGTAATTATCCATCAAACAACAATAACAGAACTCTAAAAGCTGGAAGGAAAGAGGTATATTTGCTAGGAACCTCAAGTCTTAAGCAACAAGAGAGAATATGGTGAATCCTCTGTGTTTTCCCTTTATTTCCCATGTATCCCCAGACTGGGTTCTAGAGAAGCGTGTAACCCAGAACCACAAATAGGCATTGGGGTAAAAATACCCTGCATTCTCTGGCCAAAAGACTTGGAGAAGGCAGGGATGCCTGGGTGGCTCAGTCGTTAAGCGTCTGCCTTCGGCTCAGGTCATGATCCCAGGGTCCTGGGATCGAGCCCTGCATCGGGCTCCCTGCTCGGCAGGAAGCCTGCTTCTGCTTCTCCCTCTCCCTCTCCCTCTCCCACTCCCTCTGCTTGTGTTCCCTCTCTCGCTGTCTCTCTGTCAGATAAATAAATAAAATATTAAAAAAAAAAAGACTTGGAGAAGGCAAACACAACAGAGACCTAGTGGGGAACCCCAACTCCCATTCCACAACCTGGGCCACTCAATACTCCATTCTGCAGTGGCCTTGTAAAAGCAGCAAAGCCTTGGGCCATGCCAGGCCCCACCCCATAATGTCTATGGGACAGCAGTAGCAGAGGAGCGAAGTCCTGAACTAACCTTGTCCCTAGACCAACCCAGTCCCCACTTCAAGTCAAAGACAGCAGGCCGTATGCTCCACAAACAGCTGCAAAGCAGTGAAGTCTTTGCCCTTCCCAGCCACTGCTTCACAGACCAAGGTGACAGTGTGAATCACTGTTAGTATCAACAACCCAGACCTTACTTCACAATGAGGGCCCCAAACGTAGTCTAATCTAAGGCAGGAAGAACATAAAAGAACACTACATCCCCCATCCTGTCCTCCACCCAGTCATTTAAGAAGATCCAATCCCAACAGGTTCTGACTCCAACCCTCATTTGAGTGAATGAGGACATGAGGTACTCAGGAAAGCACCTTCCATTCATCTGACACAGCACCAGCAAGAACTGAGGAGGAATCTCAGCAGCATCAGGAATGAAACAGACTAAAATACAACTGCTAGGACTCTAAACACTTAACTGACACTGGAAATAAAATCCACAAAAGTAAGCAAGAACCTATACATTAAGCCAAAACAAGGCAACTATACGCTATAACAATTTAAATACAATCAAGAGTCTTCTAAAATAATAACCAAAATGTCAAGAATACAATCAAAATGACTGATTATACCAAAAGCCAGAAAAACACAACCTGAACAAAAACATTATGATCAATGGACACAAACAAACAAGATGAATCAAATGTTGAAATTATTTAATAAGAATTTTAAAGCATCCTTCATAAAATGCTTTAACAATCAATTATAAATTGATTTTCATTTGTTTCTCCTGAGTTACAAAGGAGAACCAGTTTTTTAGATTTTAGCCATTCTTTTGGGTGTGCAGTGGTATCTAATTACCATTTTAATTTAAAATTCCCTAATGACTCAAAAAATCCCTAATGACAATGAACAAATCAAACCCACAATGAGATACTACTTCACACCCACAAGATGGCTATTATCACAAAACACACACACATGCACAGAAAATAACAAGTATTGGTGAAGCTGTGGAGTAATTAGAACTCTTACACACTGCTGATGAGAATGTAAAATGACGCAGCCACTACAAAAACAGTTTAGTGATTACTCAAAATATTAAAAATACAATTGCCATGTGATCCAGTAATTCCTTTCTTGGGTATGTACCCAAAAGAACTGAAAGCAGAGACTGCAAAGATATTTGTATGCTCTCCTTCACAGCAGCATTATTCACTACAGACAAAAAGTGGAAACCACCCAAATATCCATCAATGGATAAATGAATAAAACAAAATGTAGTAATGGATGGATCCAGAAAGTATAATACTAAGTGAAATAAATCAGTCGGAGAAAGATAAATACCATATGATTTCATTCATATGTGAAATTTAAGAAACAAATGAACATATGGGGGGTGCAGGGGAAAGAGGAAAACCAAGAAACAGACTTTTTTTTTTTTAAATTCTTATTTATTTATTTGATACAGAGAGGGAGAGAGCAAGCACAAGCAGGGGGAGCAGCAGGCAGGGGAGAAGCAGGTTGCCCACTGAGCAAGGAGCCCAATGCGGGGCTCAATCCCAGGACCCTGGGATTATGACCTGAGCCGAAGGCAGACGCTTAACGACTGAGCCACCCAGGCGCCCCAAGAACAGACTCTTAACTACAGGGAACAAACTGATGGTTACCAGAGGGGAAGTGGGTGGGGGGATGGGTAAAATAGGTGATGGGGACTAAGGAAGGCACCTGTGATGAGCACCAGGTGTTGTATAGAAGTGTTGAATCACTATATTGTACACCTGAAACTAATATTAGATTGTATGTTAACAAACTGGAATTTAAATAAAAAATTTTTTTAAAAAGATGAAAATCTAAGATTCTATATATATCATTAGGATAAGATAGACCTTTTAACCAAAACAAGGTCAAAAACTATAAAAGTCAGTCAGGGGCACCTCAGTTGGTTAATCGACTGCCTTCAGCTCACGTCATGATCCCAGAGTCCTGGGGTCAAGCCCCGCATTGGGCTCCTGCTCCTCAGGGAATCTGCTTCTCCCTCTCCCTCTGCCTGTCACTTCCCCTGCTTGCACGCTCTCTCTCCATCAAATAAATAAATAAAATCTTTAAAAAAAAAGCTATATATAAAAAAAAAAGCTATAAAGTCACACATCTGACAATGAAAATAAAAAATCTTACTCATCATATGGTTAAAGATACTATAAACAAAATCTGTAAAAGTCAAGGGATCATTTGGAAAAATATCTGTCACACAAATTATAGATCAACAGTTATAGATACTCAATTCAAAGACCTTTCATCAACAAGAAAAAACTAATGGACAAAGGATATGAATAGACAACTCAGAAAAAAGGAAATTCAAATAGCCAATAAATATATAAAAAGGTGCCAAACTCAGTGGGTATCACAGATATAGACACTAAGGTGACAATGAGATCATATAATACTGATCAAACTGGCAAAAAAAAAAATAAAATAGCAAATGATCTATCAGGTAAGATATACTTTCCTACACTGCTGGTGTAAAAGAAAATTGTAAAGCTTTTTCTGAAAGCATGCACACACATGCATGCGTACATTTATATATGTTTTCATTCAAAGTTTACCTCAGCAGGACAATGGGAATAACAATTAGTAGCTTTACTTTTTTAAATCTTTGAGGCTTACTTCAAATGAAGGACTTTTCTAATTTGAAAAATGTAGATAAACTTTCAGAAGTTGCAGCACATAACTAATTAAAGGAAATGAACAAAAGAAGAGAGAAAAAGAACACAAACCATGTGTATACAAATATTGAAATCATGTTGTATACTTGAAGCTAACATAATGTTACATGCCACTTATACCTCAGTTTAAAAAAAAAAAATGCTCAAAAAGCTCATGGAGAGGGCCATGTGAGAAGAAATTAAGGCTTCCTGCTTGCATCCAGCCCCACATGAGTCATCTTGGAAAATATATTCTTAGCCCCCATCAAGCCTTCAGATGACTGCAACACCGGCCAACATCTTGACCACCACCTCATCATGAGAGATTTCAAGCCAGAACCATCTAAGCTGCTTCTCAATTCCTGACCCACAGAAACTACATGAGATAATATTAATCATTTGTTTAAAAAAAAAAATCTATTTGAAAACTCTTAAAACTACAGCCTCTGTAATAATTCTTACTTAATGTCTCTTACCATATCCTAATAATCAATGTTCTTACCACTAAAACAAAGAAATGAATATTCAAATAAAGTTTATTTTTCATGTTTAAAAAAAAACAAACACTGACCACTCTGCCTAGGCTGACCTGTGAGTTTGTCACTCAAGCCAACACATGCAACACCTTCAGCATCTCCTTTTAATTATGTCTAAGCAAATAACATCTATGGGGATGCCACCAACCTGATCTGTTGACAACTTCACTCGGTTCTACAATGAACGGCAGAGAGGCCTCTTTCTTCTTTAAAGAAACTGGAACTGACTTCGGATGAGATTTCTGGCACTGAGCCTAAAAAGATATATAACATTAGACCTATTAAAAATTAGTAATTCTGATTAAATACATTTGGTTTTAAATTGGAAAAAAACCCCAAGTATATAAAACAATAAACCAGCTGGTAAAGTTGTATACTGAAGTTAACTACTTTAGAAAACAATTTGGCATTACCTAGTAAAGTTGAAATCTCAAATAACCTAACACAGAAACAATGCTGCTGTGAACAGCAAAAAACCTATTCTGACAGTAAATTGGATAAATTATTGTATAGTCCTATAACAACATCACACATTCAACAGTGAAATGACTAAACTACAGCAACAGAAATAAATGACTGTTAACCAAAAAAAAAATCAAGTCACAGAAATATGTCATAATCCCATTTACATAAAGTTCAAAGTGGATACATGTAAAACTATATACATATATATATATATTTTAGGGATTAACTCAATGGAGGAGTTAACATAGCGTGCCTGATCATTTAAAGAAGTTGCTTACAGCAGGGCTAGCCCTTGGCTGGCACCTAGGACCTGGCTTTCAGAACGTTTCCTCCATTACCAGCTGATAAGGTTGTACCTACTATGCCAGCTGCCTAGACTGTACAAAAATGTGATTTATAGTGAACACCTGCTTTTTTTCCTTCAGGGAGTATAGGATTGTGGTGGGCGGAGGGTACCTATGTAACCAGCCCACAATAAAAATGGGTTAAGTCTCAGAAGGCTTCCCTGGGCAGAAAGACAGGACGTACACATTTCACTGCTGGAAGCAACAAGTACACTCTGTGTGGACTCTGCAGGGAACATAGAAAGCCTTACATGGATTCCTCCAGATTCTGCCTGAGGTGTCTTTTTCCTTTACCAAGCTGGCTGTGTATCCTACCTGGCTATAATAAATCTCAGTCACAAGAACAACTATATGATGAGTCTCATGAGTCCTTCTAGTGAAGCACCCAACATATGGATAATAGCGGGACCTCTGTCAGAGGTAAAGGAGGAAGTGCTGACACAAATGTCATTTGTGTCATTATGCAACTATAAAAAAAAGATGGGAATGATGAACAGAAAATTCAAGATAGTGGTTTATCTCAGAAAACTAAAGTTGATGTAACTTTCAAAAATCAGTGTAATATAATTTACCACATTAAAGAAGGTCTCTCAATTCTGAAAGAAATGGATCTGTTTTCATTCCTTGGAACCAAAGGCTATATATAGCTGACCCCTGAACAAGGGTGTGAACTGTGAGGGTCCACTTACTCACAATTTTTTGCAATAAATATAACATAGTACCATAAATATATTTTCTCTTCCTTATAACTTAAGACTTCTTTTCTCTAGTTTTATTTTTTTTGTAAGATTTATTTATTTTAGAGAGCAAGAGTAGGAGAGGGGTAAACTCTGTCCCTCTCGGACAGAGTCTCAAGCAGACTCTGTGCTAAGTTCAGAGCCTGACGTGGGGCTCACGACCCTAAGATCACAACCTGAGCCAAAACCAAGAGTCAGATAATTAACCAACTGTGCCATCCAGGCGCCCCTCTAACTTACTTTATTATAACTATACAATATATAATACATATACAAAGTGTTAATCAACTGTTTATGTTATCAGTAAGGCTTCTAGTCAAGAGTAGGCTATTAGTAGGTAAGTGTTTGGGGAGTCAAAAGTTATAAGTGGATTTTCAACTGCATGGGTGGGTCCGCAACCCTAACCTCTGTGTTGTTCAAGAGTCAACTGTATAGGGGCGCCTGGGTGGCTCAGTTGGTTAAGCGACTGCCTTCGGCTCAGGTCATGATCCTGGAGTCCCTGGATCGAGTCCCGCATCGGGCTCCCTGCTCAGCAGGGAGTCTGCTTCTCCCTCTGACCCTCCCCCCATCTCATGTGCTTTCTCTCTCATTCTCTCTGTCTCTCAAATAAATAAATAAAATCTTTAAAAAAAAAAAAAAAAAAAAGAGTCAACTGTATAATTAAGTGTTTATACAAGTTTCTAATGAATGTTATTTCTACACTACATAATTTTTCTTTCCAATTTGTATTGTACTTTTGAATAACTTGTCTTTATTCATTAGCTTCACAAACTCTATTTGAAAGTTTGCTATTTTGTAGAGTTAGGTCAGCCTATCCTCTTAAGATATAACCTATAAAAGATTCATTGTCCTTATAGCAATAAATCAACTTTGGTTTTCAGAAAATAACCAGATTTGCCAACCTGGATTAGGAACTTCAGCAGTTGTCCACTTTCCTAAAAACCTAATTCAACTATTATTTTAGGAGGGGTGAAAAATGACTGTGTTATAATTTGATAATTCTACACCCAGACCTCCGATTTCAAACACATGAAACATCAAGTCAAAATTTTCACCAAACACCTCTAAATTATAAAGAAAGTGAGTGGGAATATAGGATTCCCTTTTAAGAATAAGACTTAAAAACAACTAAAATAGACATAACTATATTGTGTAATGCTTCATTCATTAAAATATTAAAGCTCTTCTTTTTGACTTACCTCTTTCCTTGGTGACTGAATACAAATGTCTCCTATTTTAGGTGTTGAGTAAAGCAATGATTTTGTAGAATTTGTGCTAAAGTCCTTGGCAAGACCTTAAAAAAAGCAAAAAAAAAATTTTAAATAAATACGATATAAAATCTTTTAGTTACAATTAAAAGAAGCCCTAAATGAAATGTGAAGAAGTCTGTCAACTCTTTAAAAACAATTAGTTTAAAATTAAGTACAGACATCACTTCAACATTCAAATATTCCTAGAAGGCATCAGGAACTGAAAAAGGCAAACAACATTCCTGAAGAAATAATGTACTAGCTCTTTTTTCAGAGCTTATATAGAAGAAATATTGTTCCACTGTGTTTGTTTCTTTGGTTGGCCTATTCTCTTATTTCAATACCTTCTGATGCTGACCAGCACTTTTGAAAAGTTTTGCCATAATTCATTTCTGTAGAAAGAACTGCAAATCATCAAACATTATCTCTTAGAGATCCAAGAATTCTGCACACTTATTCCCACTACATGAAATAACTTTCTTTTGTGTATGATAATTATTTATGGACTCCCAGAGTACTATATCTAGTATGAATCTAGTATGAACTAAAGGAAATGACAATTGTTTTCATTTTTGCTACTATTATCCTCAGTGTAACAGGAAGTACACAAAGGACTGCACATGTACTCAACATTTCTGGGAAAATATTTTACATATATTTAAATGTTAGAATGCATTTGCTGAATTTAATATCAATTAATATCACAAATTTATATTTTCATCCAACCCAACCATCAAAGTCCATCTTGAAGATGCCTTACTATTTTCTTCAAAACAGTCTTGTAAGATTTCCAGTATGTTCTGGCCTTGCTTCGAATTAATGTCAGGTACTCTAATAAGAAGGAATGAAGGGAAAATGTTACATATCATTTCCAGAAGATATTTGCTATTTATGTTACCATCTACTTTGAAAATTTCATATCTCATTATAAAATTTCATTTTACTTAATGGGAAAAATATAACCTTCACTATCTAAGACAAAACAAGTACTTGAGAGTCCAAGAGTTTCAAGAAAAGTATCTGAAGCGGTATGTCGTTATCTACATTAACAATTATATTCCTTGACTGAAGAGCCACATCTGAAGCCATTTTAGACTACTGCTATATCTAAACAAGAATATAAATGGTTTTGGAGAAATCCAATCAGTACTAAAACACTTCTTTAATAAAAACAAAAACTCTATGGTCACAAGTCCTAACAGCTCCAAATAACAGTCTTCCCTTGAAGTTCTCAAATGCATTTTTTATTTAATATTATTAACCTTAACAGCAGCTTATGAATCAGTATAGAATTTTCACTGTAGTTTCACATGCAGTTGTAAGAAATAATATAGAGGAAATCCCTTGTTCACTTTATCTAGTTCCCCCAAATTGTAACATTTTGTAAAACTATACTATACTATACTACCACAACAAGGATACTGGTATCAATACAATCCACTAGTCCTATTCAGATTTCTCCAGTTCTACATATACAGTTGACCCCTGAACAATATGGGTTTGAACTGCATGGGTCCACTCACACACAGATTTTTTTCAGTAAACATACTGGAAAATTTTTTGGAGATTTGCAAAATTTGAAAAAACTCACAAACCACATAGCCCAGAAATATAAAAAAAATTAACAAAAAGTTAAGTATGTCATGAATGCATTAAAATACATGTAGATACCAGTCTATTTTATCATTTACTACCATAAAATACACACAAATCTATTATTAGAAGTTAAAATTTATCAAAACTTACACATACAGAACATACATGGTGTTATTTGTAGTCAAAAGATGTGAACAAATGTAAAGACGCAGTTTAAATCATAATGGCATAAAATTAACTGTAGTACATGGTGTACTACTGTAATAATTTTATAGCCCTGTTACTATTGTGGTGAGCCCAAGTGTTAGTGAGTATCCCCTTAAAAATGCCATCTAACATTAATCAACTCTGAGTGAGCAGAAGCAATTACTTCTCCAGTAAATTGTGGATTGCAGTAAAAAGTGATCTCTCACAGTTCTCCCATTTTTCATTATGTTTAGTGCAATACCGTAAACCCTGAATAACACCACGGGACCCACAAGGTACCACTAGTGATGCTGGAAATGCTCCCAAGGAACAGAGACGTCATGACACTACAAGAAAAAGTTGATTTACTTGATATATACCATAGAATGAAGTCTGCAGCTGTGGTTGCCTGCCATTGCAAGATAAAATAAATGCAGCATAAGGACTATTGCAAAAAAAGAAAAGGAAATTTATGAAGCTGTCTTTGCAGCTGCGCCAGCAGGTACAAAACCTTGCCATTTTGCAAAATATCTTTTTATCTTGTACTGAAAATGCAGCTTTTATGTGGATTGCAGGACTTGTTCAAAGAAAGGCATAAATATAGATTATAATATGGCTTGAGAAAAAGCAAAGTTATTATAAGACATCTTAAAGCAAAAGGAAGGTGAAGGATCTAAAGCTGGAGAATTTAATGCCAGAAAAGGATGGCATTTAGAAAGAGAGCTGGCTTAAAAAAAAGAGTCAAGATAACATGAGAAGAACCTTCTGTCGAACAAGAGGCAGCAGATGAGTTCCAACATGCCGTGGCTCAGGTCATGATTTCATGGTCGTGAGACTGAGCTCCCCACTCACTGCAGAGTCTGCCTAAGATTAGCTTCCTTTCCCTCTGCCCATCCACTGCCCCCACCACTTGTGCGCTCTCTCTCTCAAAAAAAAAAAAAAATCATCATCATCCCCATCATCATCATCACTAAGGGGGCACCTGGGTGGCTCAGCTGGTTGGGCATCTAATTTTTGATTTCAGCTCAGGTCATGATCTCAGGGTCATGAGATTAAGCCCCACATTGGGCTCCATGCTGAGTATGGAGCCTGCTTAAGAGTCTCTCTCTCCTTCTCCCTCTGCCCTTCCCTCCCTCCTGCTTGCATACTATTTCTCTCTCAAAATAAAACAGGGCACCTGGGTAGCTCAGTCAGTTTAGAGTCCGACCCTTGGTCATGATCTCAGGATCCTGGGATCGAACCCTCGTCGAGCTTCCCTCACAGCAAGGAGTCTGCTTGTCTCCCACTCTCTCTGCCCCTCCCCCTGCTTAGACACATGCGTGCCTTCTCTCTCTCTCTCTCTCTCTCCCTAAATGTCATAAAGGACATATTACTAAAGAAGAGAAGCAAGCAAGGGATCAGCTAACTCTACTATTTTGTGCAAATGCAGTCAGCTTTATAATCAGGACTGACTTACCTACAAAGCTGCTAAACCCCAGCTTTGAAGGAAAAAGATAAACACCAGCTGCCAGATTTTGGATTGTACTATACCAAGAAAGCTGGGCAATGAGAACCCTTCTTCTGGACTGGTTCTATCAATGCTTTGTCCCTGAAGTCAGGAAGTACCCTGCCAGTAAGGGTCTGTCTTTTAAAGTTCTTCTGATATTGAACAATGCCACTGGCCACCCAAAACCCCAGGAGTTCAACACTGAAGGAGTCAAAATGGTATGTCTGCCCCCAACACACTTCTCAAATTCAGCCTCTAGATTAGGGGGTCATAAGGACCTTTAAGACTTGTTACACATGGTTTTCTAGGGGAAGGACTGCCAATGCTATGGAATATGGAACAGAGAAAACATCATGAAAGTCTGGAAGGATTACAGCATTGAAGATACCATTATTGTTATAGAAAAAGCTATGAAAACCATCAAGCCCAAAGCAATAAATTCCTGCTGGAGAAAACTGTATACAGATGTTATACATGACTTCACAGGATTTATGATAGAGCCAATCAAGAAAAATCATGAAAGAGATTGTGGATATGGCAAAAAAGGTGGGGGGTGAAGGGTTTCAAAATTAGGATCTTGGAGAAATTGAAGAGCTAATAGACATCACACCAGAGGAATTAACAGAAGATGACTGTATGGAGATGAATGCTTCTAAAACAATACCAGATGACGTGGAAGAAGATGTAGAAGCACTACCAGAAAGCAAATTGACATTAGACAATCTGATAGAGGTTTCCAATTACTCAAGACTGCTTTTGACCTCTTTTATGACATGGGCCTTCTATGATACAGGCATACAACGAAACTAAGGTAAACAGCAGAATATAAAACCAAGTTTAGAGAAATGAAAAAGCAAAAGTCAGACAAAAATTATGATATAATCGCATAAAGTTACACCAAGTATGCCTGCCTCTCCTGCCTCCCCTTTTACCTCCTCCACCTCTTCTGTCTCTGCCACACCTGAAACAAGATCACCTCAACTTTCCCCTCTTCTTCAGCCTACTCAATGTGAAGACAATGAGGATGAAGATCCTCATGATGATCCACTCCCACTTAATGAACAGTAAATAATCAGCATGCCATACCATTAATAAACTCCAGTGTATCCGTGTGTCTTCATGTGAAAATCTAGTAACTGTATGGCAAGAAATGTATGAGACATTTTTATGTCATCGTCATCATTATTATCCTCTAAGTATTCATTGTGTAGAACACCTTGTGCAAAACTTGTATGGAAGTGGATAGCCTATCCTTACATAGGCATAAGGTGAGTGATATTTAATATAAAATTAATAATGTGTTATCTTACTGCCTTGTAACTTTCCTTTCAAAGAATTATATTTCCATACAGTATGTCTTTCCTCACAGGTAAGTGGTTTTATAAAAGTATAACAATGTTTCCAAACTATATTATGGATATAACTATAATACCATATGCCGAAAAAATTTGTAACAATTCTATCCATTAATGTATAGACTAGGCTACCATGAAACAATCATACTGACCACACCAGGCTACCATAAAGTAATCATACTGCTGCTTCTTTATCAATACCTGTTATACCTGTAAATAAATATGAATTTCTTTTCACATCATTTTTTCATGTCTGATGTCTAGTGCTAGTAATATATATAACAGCTACAGTGTTTTGTATCATATAAGACTATATTAGTAGGTAATAAGACGATTCCTCTTGTAAACAGACAACAAAAACTTACTGTTATCAATACAGTACAGTTCTGTAAATGTGTTTTCTCTTATGATTTTCTTAGTAACATTTTCTATTCTCTAGCTTATTTTATTGTAGAATACAATATATAATATACAGTATACAAACTATGTGCTGACTATTTATGTTATTGGTAAGGTTTCCAGGCAACAGTAGGCTATTAGTAGAAGATTTTGGGGTATCAAAATTATGTGAAGATTTTCAACTGTATGGGGGTCAGCAACCCTAACCCGAGTTGTTCAAGGGTCAACTGTACTCGTTTGTGCGTTTATGTTCATACTTAGTTCTGTGCAATTTATCACATCTGCAGGTTCACAAATTATCACCACAGTCAAGATACTGAACAGTCCGCATTACAAAGATCCTTATTGTCTTTTTATAGCCTACACCCACATTTTCTTTTAGCCCCACCAAATAAGCTGCATCTTTGTAATATTACCATTCAATCCACTCTATAAAGTGCTTTCCCCATGGCTGTCATTTAGTCAGAACTAAGACTGCCTCTTCCTGATCCATAATTTATCAGCTGAATTTCTTCTCTCACTGGTGCTAAGTCACTACTCTGCTTGCATTAATATTTCTGTAAATATAAAATTACTAAGTAGACTATACCTAATCAGTGGGCACAGAAATCATTATGTTAGAAGTAATTTTTCCCTTCTTCATTTAAAAATCACTTTCTGAAGACAGACATAAAAATGGCCTTAAAATCCAATATATAACTCACCTGACAGGTCGGCAAAATCTTCTTCTGTAGTCATTTTTGAGATGATCCTAAAAGAAAAGTAAATCACCCAACTGGTGAAAACTTAAGTTCTTCATTTATTCATTCAGCAAGTTTTGCTAATTGCCCATTATAGTACTATAAAGAGGAATTCACTGGATCAAGTGAAAGAAAACTTGCCTCATATCTACTGTTTCAAAATCTTTGCTTATATTATTTGCTCATCCTGGGATTTATTCCATCTTTCTCTTTTTCTTCCACCTGCCCCCATACCTTTTCTATCATCAAAATTCCAACTATCTGTGCTTCTAATAATTCAAATTGGTTGACTAGCAATATCTACTCATCTCCTTTCCTTGCAGGCAGATCCCTGTAAAATAATAGTTAAGCATTAAAACGACATAAAACAACAATGAAAAAGAGAATGGAAGAGAGGACCATCTATTAACAAACAAATTAAACAAATTTCTAGAAGATGGAAAACAAATGGAGTATGTTAATTGATGAAACAGAATAAAAGCAGTAGGAGCCAAAAGTAAGCTCGGAGGATCCAGTTTCTGATGAAGAGTAAAGCTGATCTGCCCAGGAAAAAGCCGTAACAATGTTGAACTAGGAAAACTCGAAATATGAAGGAGGAAAGACTGAGAAAGGGAACGAACAGAATAACAGACCCCCACATCCCCTACCCCATAAACACAGAGCTAACTGGCTAATTGAATTTAAATTAAAAAAAAAAAAAAAAACACAGAGCTAAAAAAATTTTATTCTATTGTCTCAGTCTTAAATATCACTAGCATTTATGGATCACCAGACATTTAAAAGTCTCTAAGCAAAACAGGAAAATCAAGAACTCATGATGTAATGTATTGTGATTAGCATAACATAATAATAAAAAAAAGATATAAATTTTTAAAATGGAAAAGAAAAAGGCCCAAGAGAAAACTGAAACCAAGAATGAGAAAGAAGAGCATAACCCAACATATAAACCTGTCGAATTATTATGCTGTACATTTGAAAGTAATGTAACATTGAGTGTCAACTAGGCTTCTATTTTTTTTTTTTTAAGATTTTATTTGTTTATTTGTCAGAGAGAGAGAGAAAGAGACACAGCACAAGCAGGGGGAGAGGCAGGCAGAGGGAGAAGCAGGTTCCCTGCTGAGCAAGGAGCCCAATGAGGGACTCCATCCCAGGACCCTGGGATCATGACTTGAGCCCAAGGCAGACGCTTAACCGAATGAGTCACCCAGGTGTCCCTATATTGATTGATTGATTTGAGAGAGTGAGAGAGACAGCATGAGCAGGTGGGAGGGGCAGAGGAAGAGGGAGAAGTAGGCTCCCCACTGAGCAGGGAGCCCAATGTGGGGCCTAGATCCCAGGACCCTGGGATCATGACCTGAGCAGATGGCAGATGTTTAATTGACTGAGCCACCCAGGCACCCCTCAATTAGGCTTCTATTAAAAAAAAAGGGGGGGTGAGAGAGAAAGAAAACGTAAAAGCAAAAAACAAAACTCTAATTAGTACCTTCAAGAGAGATTTGAAATACTGGACTCATAAAATAAAGTGGTATACTATAAGCAGTGAGACCAAGAAAAATTCTTAATAATTAAAAATATCACTGCCTAAAGTAAAAAATGCAATAATTATGAAAAAGCTAAGGATATTTCTGGGAGGGGAAAAAAAAGACAAAAAATGAAGAGGAAGTGGAAAATGGAAGAAAGAATAAAACAAAGAAGATCTAAAAATCAGGAGGTCCAACTTCTGACAAATTGCTATTCCGGGAAGAACAAAGAAAAAGGAAAGAGATAACTCTAAGAAAATACACAAATTCCCTAAATGTGTAGGGCATAAACAGCCAGCATGATGAATATAAGAGAATCCATACCTCGGACATAATAGTGACATTTATGAAAAATTGAGAATAAAAAATACTAGAATGCTTCCAGAAAGAAAAAAAATCATTAACTCCAACCAGGAAGCAGCCCCATCACTGGGAACAAGAGGAAAAATAAAACACAGAGACATGCTGATTTTGGAAGTCGAGAGCATTATCTGAGATACTTAGGGTACTATCTTTTTATTGTAAAATCAAATCTAGTTGAAAATTGGGTAGTCATAGGATGAACAGCATGCTTTAAAAACTATTATCAATACCAAATATTTATTGAGCCTTTTACTTGGCCCATTGGGATATAAATGACCCCACCACATATAAACACTCTCTTTACCCCACTCATGCATCTGACATTTTTATGAAGAAATTCATAAAAGAAAGGCAGAGATCACAATGTGAAAATAAACTGTTTATTAATATCATTGATGCTATTATTATCAATCACAGATTTTAAATCCATGCCAACATTTATCCAAATAAAACACTGATCATGGTTTAAAAAAAATTAAAAAGGAGAATGAGAGGACAAGCAACAGGCTGGAAGAAAATATTTGTGGGTGCCTGGGTGACTCAGTTGGTTAAGTGACTGCCTTCGGCTCAGGTCATGATCCTGGAGTCCCAGGATCGAGTCCTGCATCGGGTTCCCTGCTCGGCGAGGAGCATGCTTCTCCCTCTAACCCTCCCCCCTCTCATGTACTCTCTCTCTCTCTCTCTCTCATTCTCACTCTCTCAAAATAAATAAATCTTTAAAAAAAATATTTGTAAAAGACACATCTGGTAAGGACTATTATCCAAAATATAGGAACAATGCTTAAAACTCAACATTAAGAAAACAAACAACCAAATTAAAAAATAAATGGGCCAAAGACCTTATAGCTCAAGTAAGATGATGTACAAATGGTAAATAAGCATATGAAAAGATGCTTCACATCATATATCATCAGGGAAAAGCACGTTAAAACAATGAGATACCACTATACCTATTAGAATAACGAAAATCTGGTACACCGACAACTCCAAATGCTGGTAAGGATATGGCACAAAAGAAACTCTCATTTATTTTTTTTAAAGATTTTTATTTATTTATTTGAGAGAGAGAATGAGATAGAGAGAGAGAGCACGAGAGGGAAGAGGGTCAGAGGGAGAAGCAGACTCCCTGCTGAGCAGGGAGCCCGATGCGGGACTCGATCCCAGGACTCCAGGATCATGACCTGAGCCGAAGGCAGTCGCTTAACCAACTGAGCCACCCAGGCGCCCAAGTCTCATTTATTTTTGAATGCAAAATAGTACAGCCACTTTGGAAGAGTGTGGTGGTTTTTACAAAACTAAACAGACTCTTACCATGACTTAGTAATCGTACTGCTTGGTATTTACCCAAGGGAGTTGTCCACACAACAGCTGTCCACACAACAATCTGCATACAGATGTTTATTGCAACTTTATTTATAATTGCCAAAACTTGAAAGCAACCAGATGTCAATTAGGTGAATGGATAAACTGGGGTACATCCAGACAATGGAATATTATTCAGCACTAAAAAGAAATGAACTATCAAGCCATGAAAAGATATGAAGAAACCTTAAATGTGTAATACCAAATGAAAGTCAATCTGAAAAGGCTATGTATGTATTATTCCAACTACATGACATTCTGGAAAAGGCAAAACTATGAAGATGGTAAAAAGATGAGTGGTTACCAGAGTTGTGTAGGGAGGAAGGGGTAAACAGGCAGAACACAAAGGATATACAGGGCAGTGAAAACACTCTCTATATGATACCATAATGATGGATATGTGTCTTTAGATTTTTGTCCAAACCCACAGAATGTGCAACACCAGGAGTGAACCCTATTGTACATTATGGACTTTGGCCAGTCCATGACGTGTCGATGTAGGTTCATCAATTGTAATAAATGTACCACTATGGTGGGGGATACTGATAATAGGGGTGGCTAAGCATGTGTGGGGGCTAGGGGGTATGGAAAAATCTCTGTACCTTCCTGCTTAGTTTTGCTAAGAACCTAAGACTGCTCTAAAAAAATGAACTCTTGGGGCGCCTGGGTGGCTCAGTCGTTAAGCGTCTGCCTTCGGCTCAGGTCATGATCTCAGGATCGTGGGATCGAGTCCCAGGTCAGGCTCCTTGCTCGGCGGGGAGCCTGCTTCTCTCTCTCCCACTCCCCCTGCTTGTGTTCCCTCTCTCGCTGTGTCTCTCTCTGTCAAATAAATAAATAAAATCTTTAATAAATAAATAAACTCTTTTAAAAAAGGAACCGTGGGCATTTGGTAAATTTATTCCCTTCCTTTTCCTCCAATGAGAATGGCTTTATTCCCTTTTTTTTTAATTCTACGTAATGTAAACAATGTATGTGCTCACAGTAAAAAGTATGCTCTATAGCATCCTTTTATACACCTTCATGCATACAAGCATACATTTATAACTTTACGTAAGTGGGAGATCACTGATGAAGATTTTCTTAAAAGGGGAGAGATAAAGTAGAAAATACAGTAGGAAGGGGCTGATATGGGTTGTATAATATACTGTAACCATAAGCAAAGTGTGAAATACAGAATAGTGAATACCAAGAGAGCCCAGAAACGGAAACAAAAGATTAGTGCCCGCCCCCTTTAGTCATTCCCACCTTAAGCACCTTTTAACTAATAGCTGCCTTTCAGAAAACTTTATCAATAACAGATACCCATCTACAAATAATCTGCTTCTCCAGACCATCAAGTCCACACTTTAAAGGCGTCCCAATACTTCTGTGGACAGGAAATTATTTGGAGGACTAAGAAGTAGATTTAGGCCAAAAAAAGTAGAAATCACAAGATTCTCTGAAGAGAAAGATGCCATCACAAACAAAATTAAAAAAAACCTTGAGGAAACAATACACGGAAATTAACTCTGGCTATCGGCATACGATCAGCGTTGATCTCAAAAAATTCGCGGGCTTTCCCACTGAAATCTCCAAGAAGCCACAGCACCAGCTAAACATTTACATTCTCCCCTGCCCCGAGCTCCGGTTCGCCATAAGCGGCAAGAGCCTGCACTTACCAGACCCGACGCAGCCATGTTTCGACCCGGCCCCCGGAGTCTGGCACGGAAGTACTCGCGGGCCGTGACTCGAAGAAGCCTGGCACTGACAAGAATCGCGGGAGGAGCGGTTAGACTGAGCCCCAGGAGCTCTCCTGGGGTGGGAGGCGGCAAAATCGAGAGACCTGCGAGCCAGTAAGCGCGCTACCGACGGTCCTCACCCATTGGCGCAGCCCTTCACAGGCACAGCGCCCTGCAAACTCCGGGGTTTGAAACGGTCTGCACATGCGCAAACCGAGACGAGCAACCCAATAGAAAGCCGTTACGGGCTCGCCCCTTCACTGGACGCTCCAACAGACCAGCCCATCGCAGCGTCCACCGAAGCCCCGCCCCATCTTTCCCGTAGCCCCGCCCTCCCTCTCTACTTAACGCTGGATCCTCCTTCGCTCCCCAGCCAAGCGGAGACTGAGCTTAAAAAGCTGGAGTTTTACTTAGCTAGAGATCGTTTCGAGAGCAGCCTTTGCCCTTGAGCCCAATGTAAGACTTGTCAAGGGTTCTCATACAGTAAAAAATAATACTTGGAAGGATAAGAGGTAGAAATTGCAGAAGTTGTTTGACGAGAAATATTTCACTATGCAGACTTGTCAACCACCCCCAGCCCGTCTATGTATCAAATCTGAAAGTCATAATAATATAATGATGACGATGTATTCTTTTTTCGGATATGTAGATAATATTTTCATGAAGCATTGCCAACAAAATGACCTAGGTAAATATCTGTCATTTAGGTATAATATCCTGAAGGGAGTCTTTATCAGGAGTCTTGAATTTACTCAGCCATTAGCAATGTCATCTAGGACAATTTGCGCCACCATTCTGGGTGTTTCCTTAATATAGTTATATAATGGGAGAGCTAAATTAGATCCTCTGAAAACTTGACCATTTTATGATTGTATGAAACGTGTCTATTTTTTGTGATTTAATAAAAATTTGCAGAGAATTTTAAACAGAAAATACTTATTGAATAAATTCATTAGTCAAGAGTTGAGCTAATAAACTTTTTTAAACTTGTAATGATTTAACAAATGTTATCACCTGCTGAGGGTTTTTATTTATTTACTTTTGGTAGGGAAGAGAGGTTATATATTAACTCTGCAATCAGGCTGTATTCCATTCTACTTCACAAATTCTGCCATAGTGGGCAAGTTAAACTATTTCTTTCTCAAATCCCTTGTCTGTAAAATGTCTGTAAAACTGATGAGATATTGGATTAATTCCTTTTAATATCTAGGTGAAATTCCTGGAACATAGTAAGAATTCAATAAATAATTATTATTTAGTATTATTATGTATTATTAGTATTATTATGGAGTTTTTTACTTGCTCTAGCAGAAGTTTTGCCAATCAGACTACATAATATAATTTGATGCTGTCACATTTAGAACAGATTATAATAAAAACTATCATTTATTCAATTCACACTGTATGCCGTTTTTTTTCTTAATGCTCTCCATGCAGTAACTTATTTAATTCTTAGAACATTCTTATTAAGGGAAGATGACTAATATCCCCATTTTACTGACAACAGAACTGGGACAGTGCTTAAGTAACCTGCCCCAAATTGCACTACCATTAAAGGGCAGAACTGGGGATGAAGCCTGCTGTCCTAACTCTAGAACTGAGCACTTAATCACTACACTTTTTTTTTACCTCTCAGTGAGAAATTTTAGCAAGCACAATCACAGATGTAAAAGTTCTACATATAAAATGATTTCCACTGAAGACAGTGACTCTCAGAGGTATTTTGAAATACTTGACCTGGTGTAAAATGTAGGACACAAAGGGTATTGGTGATGAACTGGTCTGTTCCACAGAGAAAATGGAGGAGCACTTTTATGAAAACCAAAGTTGTGGAGACTCCTCCTTTCATTCCCAAACAAATTTTTTAGTTCCCTCTGCATCTGTCCTATTATTTAATAGCTCCACCATGTTTTTAGCATCCAAAAATAGGGTTGCTAGTTAATTAATTAATGTTTATAAAACCCAGATTTGTCATTATAGGCCCACTGCGCCCCAAAATACATCCAGATCACTCCTTATGAACTTCTATGGTAACTGACTAAATCTTGAAGTTTTCTATCACAACTACTGAAACCTAGGCAAGGAGTATGTGTGTGTGTGTGTGTGTGTGTATCAGTCTATGGAAGTATGTATATTAGATGGGTATATGGGAAATAAAGTATCCAGAAATTTAACTTGAAAGGGTAGTAGACACGTTTACTTAGGATTTTATGTAGATTTTAAATCGGTAACTGTTAAAACGATTTTAAAGAATATTTTAGACATTAAAAATGGCACTCTAAAAATGAATTTGTTCTAGAAATAGTAACACAATTACTATTAAAACTTAAAATTTGCTTTATTCATAATAAACCCAAACTGGTTATATGCCCATCAACTGGTAAATAAACTGTGGTACCTCCATATAGCAGAATATTCCTCAGCAATAAGAACAATCTACTGATACAGGCAACAACTCAGATGAATCTCAAAAGCACTATACTAAGTAAAAGAGGCCAGACATAAAAGACAACCTGCTGTATGATTCCCTATATTTGCCTACATAAAACTATACAAATAGAAATTAGACCAGTAGTTGCCAGGAGATGAAGTTGGGGATTGAAGACGCTGACAACAGAGGCCATGAGGGAACTTTTAAGATGGTGGAAACAGTCTATGTCTTGATTATGATGGTGATTATAATACTCTTATGTTTTTGTCAAAACTCTCAGGATGACTTTTGCTGTAAATCACACCTCAATAAACTTGACTTAAAAAATTAAGGACGTTAGAGAAAGTGTTAACAAACCAAAGTAGGCCCACTCCTTGGTGAGTTATAGTCAGGTTACCCCAGGAAGAGTCACCTCACAGTGTCAATTTTATTTGTACAAACGAGATCACAGGGATTAATTTCCAAAACAGTGTCTCCCAAACAAGGGAAAGCAGGCTCCTCTTATTAGGATTTGGGATGAATATTCAGAAGGGATTTTAACATTATAATGGAACTGAGGTTGCCTCTGGCACTTTATGATTCATCTGTGCAAGCTCAGGGGGTCAGGCCAGTAGAGAGAGAAAGAGAGATACCAGCCAAATGTAATGTGTGAATTAGGGCCAGTCTGATTCAAAACAAAGAAGATATAAAGAGCATTAAAAAGTAGAAAACTAAAACAGTGATTATTAAATGACAGGGAAATGTAAAATTTTCTTAGATATTATAATGCCATTGTGTTGAGAATGCCCTTATTCTTTTAGGATAAGGATATACATATTTAAGTATTGAGGGGTAAAACGAGATGTTTGTACGTACTTTAAATTGGTTCAGTTTAAAAAAAGAGGGGTGCCTGGTTGGCTCAGTCAGTGGAACATGTGACTCTTGATCTCAGGGTTGTAAGTTTGAGCCCCAGTTTCATTGCAGAGATTACTTAAAAAAATCAAATCTTAAAAAAGAAGATAGAGATATAGTTAAAGCAAATATGGCAAAATGTTAATAATTACTGAAACTACATGGTAGATGTGTAGGTGTTTATTAATACTGCTCTTTTAGCTTCTCTGTATGTTTGAAACTTTTCATGGTAAAATGATAGGGCAAAGTGGCATTAATAAAATTGCAGGTCTTTGGGGCGCCTGGGTGGCTTAGTCCTTAAGCGTCTACCTTCAGATCAGGTCATGATCCCAGGATTCTGGGATGGAGCCCCGCATCAGGCTCCCTGCTCTGTGGGAAGCCTGCTTCTCCCTCTCCCACTCCCCCTGCTTGTGTTCCCTCTCTAGCTGTGTCTCTCTCTGTCATATAAATAAATAAAATCTTTAAAAAAAATTGCAGATGTCCTCAGAATTTTTGCAAAAAAAAAAAATATTCTGCAGAAGTCAAAAATGAAAATGTTAGGAAATTACTGTAAGAGAATTTTGTCAGAAAAAATTACACTCCAAAAATCAATTTGTAAAAATTATGACATTGCAATTATAACTTAAAATTTGCTAAAGTAAACTTATTTGTATAATTTTGTAGTTTATTTCTTGGAGTGTATTTTTTAATATAATATTTCAATTTTTAAAATTCCTTACTATCAAATGTTATCCATGTGTTAAGTAGCCTTTTCTGACAAAATTATCCTCAGATAGGAAGGCTCTAAGACTCTAATTGCCACATTAGTAAAGTGTGCTTGCAATATGCAGGTAGGTGGCAGCAATGTTCACAAAAAAAAAAAAAACCCAATTATACTATGCGTTGAGTAAAGGTCCCCATGAGTTCTTAATTTTAGTGCTGTGTAAAAAGCTTTACAGTTACCTCTGTGCGTGTTTGCTTCTTAGTTGTAACTGAATTCTATTATGATATACATTGTTACTCTTAACAAGAATACAACCAGTGAGGCTGGTTGGGTAGGTAGAATATGTGACTCTAGATCTCAGAGTTGAGAGTTAGAACCCCACCTTGGAGATAGAGTTTACTTACAAAAAATTTTTGAATAAATAAATAGAGGAACACAACAAATAGACTATTCTCTGGATCTCCATTTTGTAGCCTATAGTTTACTTCTGGTCAGCATAATTCTTAAAAAGGAGCTTTTGTCATTTAAAACACATTTAATTTAGATTCACTATGTTGTACACCTGACTAATGTAACGTGTCAATCATACTTCAATTAAAAAAAAGAAATAAACTAAAAAAACAATCAATAACCACAAGCTTAATAATATACTTTCTGTGTTACAATTTTAACCTTGCAAAGACATATATTACTTTGGTGGTACTAGGCAAAAATTTAAATAATGAATGTTAATATTTATTGACATGAAAATGTGCTGTACATACACTGTATGAAAAATGCAGTTCATCAAACAGCATGTACTAATCTGATTATATAAATACACACAACTAGGGGCGCCTGGGTGGCTCAGTTGGTTAAGAGACTGCCTTCAGCTCAGGTCATGATCTCGGGGTCCTGGGATGGAGCCCCGCATCGAGCTCCCTGCTCTGCGGGAAGCCTGCTTCTCCCTCTGACCCTCCCCCTGCTTGTGTTCCCTCTCTCGCTGTCTCTCTCTCCCTCTGTCAATTAAATAAATAAATAAAATCTTTTTTAAAAAAATAAAAATAAATAAAATAAATACACACAACTAGAGAAAATGTGCCAAAAAAGTAATGGTACCTATCCAAACAGTGCTCATGGTGGATGGTGGAATAGCATGTGATTTTCATTTTCTTCTTTATGCCTAAAG